TAAAACCAAGGCAGCCACTACTGCTCAGTGATATCTACTGTGCTTTTGGGTCTTTTCTATTGGTGCCAATCTTATGAGTACCAAGGATCTCACCTTGGATTTGGGGACCCTGCCACATCTAATGTGAAAGATTTCTTTGGAGGAATTCAGGTAAGACTCTGAAAAATCTCAAGAGGTAAACACTGCTATCCTGCTGAATCATAGGCAGTGAGACATGAAGCTACTGTCTGTCAACAGGGAGAGTGGCCAGATATTTTGTCATCTATACATAACAGAGGAGGTGTTATTAATTATGCTAAGGGAAGAGGAGTAAACCAGTGAGAAACAGACTTACATTCCTGGGCACACCTGGATTTATGGTCACCTTTATCAACAGAAGATGGTCAACAGAAAAGGACAATAAAGACAAGGAGCATTCCCACGGGAAATCTCTCAGATCCTAGCCTGGTCCAGGACACGGGGGATGGTGGTGGTGACTGGCAGCTTGTCGGGGCTGATTTCTTTTTATTCATTGTGTCTTTCTGAGTTCAGAACCTTCTGCTCAGATGCCAACATACCCTTTTAGGGTCTTACCCTGTCAGCCTTCCTTTCCCCACTCTGACCCAGGTAACTTTCATCTGGTTGTTTGAAAAGGGGTATCTGAATGCCTCTCCAATCTCTCCCCAATCTGTTATCACAGCTAAAACTGTGCTTTGCTTTTGTCCTGACTTTCTGTATTTATTCCTAAAAGCCTTTCCAACTAAGGCTCTTGCAAATTAAAAGGTTTGGACCTTCAAGTTTATTGTGTGGGCATTAAGAGTCTATTCTGGATATCAACAGCATAAATTTTCACTTTTCCCCACTGCACTCTCCTAGTTTTCCTAAGGTCTGCACGGATGCCACCATGACCTATCACTCACAGTGAAGGAAGTGCTGACAAAGAAAATCACCTTAGTTAATAATTCTGTGTATACAAAATTAGAAATAAGGGCAAAATAGTTCCTGCTGGGTATTGAGGGGGTAGGGGGGAGAGGGAGGGGGCGGAGTGGGTGGTAAGGGAGAGGGTGGGAGCAGGGGGGAGAAATGACCCAAGCCTTGTATCCACATATGAATAATAAAATAAAATAAAATAATTCTGTGTATTATCTAATGATATGCTGCTGTTTATGGGACACAGAACTACTACCTAAGCATTATCTTACTGAATTCTTGTAATCTCTCAACAGTATAAGTACTGTTGTTATCTCTATTGTGCAGCTAGGGAAAACCAAGATTTCAGTCTTACAAGAAGAAAAAAGAGTCAGTGTAATACAGTAAGAAAAAAATCTTTGTAACTTGCACTTCATTTTCTCATATAGACATTTAAATTTTATTTAAAATTAAATTTTATTTGAAATTTTATTTTTAAATCCCCTTCAAATTCTAAAATTTTAAATAGAGGTCTATAGTCTACAATCCCTGTGGCCAGTTGCATGTTGGAATTATAGATTTTGAGATTTGTGAAAGGTAATGTGTTCAAACACTGTGTGTTATCAAATCACTGAAGCAGGACCTGGATAGAGTCTTATAATTAAGCAGTGATATTTCTGCAGCAATTCTTACAGCAGAAAAAGTAAAGATTAGTTTTTAAAAACTCATATAAATTCAGGTCAGATACTATTGCCAAATTTGTTTACATAAATATATAAAAAGCTTTTGATTTTCTAACTCTTTGAGTTTTAGAACTGTGGATAAGGGGTTGTGGGGGCTGGACCAGTGGAAAAATTGGGGTAAAGTGATCATCAGTGATACAAAATGTTATGTTCTATTATTATCAACAGTATTGGAGTCATAGAAGTGATGTGGCATGAAAGATGTTGCAGAGGAAGTGCTGGTTGCATTACCTGAAAAATTTTAACTGCTTACCTGAGACTCATAAGTATCCATAGCAGTTCCAGTTGTGAGCTTTGTTCATGGTTGTGGCTGCAGAGGTGTAAATAACCATTGAGCATAAAAACGGTACACATCTTTAATTGTTGTAAAGGAAACAATTAAATTGTAAGGAAAGTGGATTTAATCATGATTTCACGTCTAGCAAAGGGACATATAATGGGAGTGACAGCAATCAACCAGACATTGGTTCTTAAATCTCATCTCCCAAATTGCTAGAGACATTGTCATGAAAGGGGTGATAATACACATGCCAAATGCCTATTTCCCGTCAGGCTCCAATAGGATAAAGGAAAAGCACCCACAACAATGACAAAGAAGTTGTATCTTGGCTCTCAAAAGAAGAATCAATTGAATATAGTTAGAAAGGCCAGACTTTCACCATTGATATTAGAGCAATACATTCAGTGTTTTGAGATATGACTAATATTATACGGTACCAGTGTGCGCAGGTAATTTAACTTGTAGGGGAACTCAATTTCTTTTGAAAAGTAAGTGTATGCATAAAAGTTAGGTTGTTAAAGCCTTAAAAGGGGTTCATATTTATATATGAAGTTTATAAACTTCATATTTACCTTTTAATAAGACTCTTGAACAATAAAGGTATATATCACTCTTTTAAAAAAGAATAAAAAAATACACTCCGTGTTGCTTCAAAATGGTGAGTCATGCACTTAAAAATCTCAGTAAAGCAAGCACATGAAATAGAAAGAGAGCAACTATTATTACAAAGTGATGACAGTGGGATGGCAGAGTGGCTCAAGCGGTAAGAGCACCTGCCTAGCAAGCATGAGGCTCTGAGTTTGAACCCCAGTGCTGCAAAAAAAAAAAGTTCATAGTGATGACAGTTCAGGGGTAATTTACTTTGTCCTGGACAGAAGTGCTGAGGCATAGTAGATGATAGAGGTGGGTTAACCACCTCTGCCAAAACCCAGAGAAAAGACAGGGGGATGAGGATGGAACATGTTGAAGATGGTGTCAGAGAGTGGAAAAGTACAGCTCAGCAAGAGGAAAGGAGTCTGAAGAGGGGAGGATGCTTTTCTAAGTCTCCCAGTCCAGACATCACCCATGTTCTGCATTTAAATGAATGACACATACACTATTTGGTGGCTTCAAATGACAGGTGCATTGACACTTTGGCACATTGGTGGAGTCTTCCATGTAAAAATACATTCACGAAATATGACAAATGGGACACATTCAGAGATATGCATTGACTAATAATGTGACAATATATATTCTGTGATAGCATAGATCAGTTGATTAAAGCACTGGTCATAAAATAGAATCAATGGTCTTTGCCTGGAAGGGTCAGAGATCACAGGTCATCTGTAGACTGGCCAGGCTGTGAAGACAGGGCATACTTCTGACAGGCAGAGTGTCTCAGAAATAGAAGAGAAAGGAGCTGCTTTTATTTTGATGGCATGAAATTTAACACCAATCTCATCTAAAGATCTCACCTTTCTGCTGCTGTCAGCCAGAGAAATACTGATAAGGATAAAATGGATGCTGTGGTTTCAGAAGTGTGCTGGTTAAAGGGGTCCATCTACCAGCACCAGAATGGAAAAACATTAGCAGAACGAGCACCTGGAGTCTTTCTCATGCCCATGGCTCATCTACAGTGGAGGCTTCACTGTTATCCATCCTCTTTTCTCTCAACCCCCTTTCACTCCCCAAATATTATGTGCAGCACAAAAGCACAACAGTGGAATGAATCGAGAGGAACTGCCTTACCCAAGTAGGTAATGATAGAGAACAGGTGTGGCAGAAATTCTGAACCCATTTGGTCATACTGTTCCAACTGCATCCTTGTTTCACTTACTATTTAAGAACGGGTGGAAATGGATAATCTTATCATTTCTGGCAAGTAAAAAATAAAAACCTCAAAGAATGTTCAGGTGATCACTGAGTGAGTTGTGTTGTCTCTGTCATCTTTATTTATGCAAATAAGCCAAGATTGTTGCTTACCCAGTGGATATAAGAGTAGTTGGCCAGCACTGGCCATCTAAGGGATGCTCTTTTAGAATTTGTTCCTTATATCATTGGGCTTTTCTACTGCTTTTCACTTCTAAGAAAAGATGGTTAAGATGTGAGCCAAAGAGAAGAGCAAAACTAGCAATGCGTTGGGAATAGTACAGGAAAAGAGTAAGCATTGTTTCTTTTTCTTTTTTTAAATTGTGAGTCATCTTGTCCAGTTAGGTCAATGGGTCTTGAACTTACTAAATGACTGTGTCTTTTCTTTCCTTGAGAGTTTTGGATCAGGTCATAGGGTCAGCATGCATATTTCATTTGACTTTCTCACAAGCTTTTAGCAGACTCTAGTTTTTGAGCCATGTGTTCCTCTTTCACATACTGAGAAGTGCTAAACACACATGATATTCTTGTTGTGCATTAACCCTAGTGTCCAGGGACCAAATTTTTTTTTTTTACAAAGTCATCCATACTTAGAATTGGGGAAGAGTCTATACTTTGTTTGACTTACCAAGTATGTCATAGGGACATAGAAAGACCCTCACAGCTTAGAGAATTGATGCACCTTGCTGAGATGACTCCCTCTCAGGAAAAATTTGGATTATTACATTTTAGGCTTTGGGAGGAGTATAGTTGAAATATCAGAAGGATAATTTGGAAGGGGAAAACAAATATTCAAGTATTCTTCAGATGAGGAAAATCACATGAATTCATTTCCTCAAAGACAAAACAGAGATAGAGAGAGAGACTGAGAGAAGGAGAGGTAGATGCATGGAGGGATGGATAGATTTATAGATGCTAAGAAGATAACACATGTTCTAAATAGAGAAAAAGTACTAATATCTTTTGGCATCTGGAACATTGTACACACCATTGTGCTTTACAGTATTTCTAGTCACTAAAGTCACTTGGTGAGTTATTCAATTTTATCGACCTTTTACATGAGTCTCAGAGATACGAAGTGATTTGTACAAGACCATGAACTTAATATGAAAGAGATTTAAATTAGACCTCTCTGACTCCAAAACCCTCTTTCTTTCAGCAATATCATGCATCACAGATTTTTGTGTTTTATCAAATGAAAAATAATTTCCACTGAATTTTTGTGTTTTGTTTAATAGCTCACTATTTATGTCCAGCCTGAGCAAAAGCACACCGCTGAGTATGCTGCCAACATAACTAAAACTGTGTTTGATTATTTTGAAGACTACTTTGATATGAACTATTCTCTTCCTAAATTAGGTGAGAATCACTTTTCATTTTCTTTTTTTTAGTATTGCCTTTGCTTTCACCTAAATTAACTAATTTCAAAATTATATCACCATTGATTACTGGTCATCTCCAAGTCCTTTCATTATATGTCTGTACTATGTGTCTAACTATAATGAGATACTGAAAGATCCATTCTGTATTTCTCCCAAAATCATTTATATACTCTATTCTTATTGGGTGAATGATGTATAGTCTTCTATTTCCAAATAAAGATGAAAGTGTTGCACAAAACTACAGAGCTTGTTAATGAAGAAGTCAGATAGAGCAACCTAAATGAGTTGATTTAAAAAAAAATCGGTACCCATTCTGGTAGTTCATGTGCCTTTCTGTCATGAGAGAGCTGGAAAATAGCAGAGGTAAACAAATGATGTTGTAAGAGTCTCATGGGCTTCCAACCTTCCCATTGTTGTGCAAGACGAATTCTAAATTCTCCAACTGTTGAAATGAAATTCTGATGCTCCTTCCAAAGTTTTTTGTTTTACTATGGGGAGAGGCATGTTTTCTTTTTAAAGTAGGATGATGGTGTGGATATATTTTCATCAATAGCAGAAATACTTCGCTAATAAACTTGAGTGATTGATATTAGCAGAACACGAAGTGTCAGACCCGTAGCAGTGTTTACAGGGGTGAAATGAAGATGGTCAGAGAACAAACCAGCCAACAATTGACCTCTTTAATCTTGCTTGTACCCTCTTTTAGAACATTATCAATGCAAAGCAATTGGAATGCGAAATTCTCTACATGAGATCTGGGCAGCTTTACAGACGCTGTGCTATCTCTTCAATTCCAATTTTCTATTGCTTAGCAAGCGTTAGAGGAGACAGAAAAAGAAGTGGCTTCTCATCAGAGTCAGAAGATGATATCAAACACCTAAATTCAGAGGTCTTTTCCTTTGAATTCACAAATATTAACTGTAGCAACAGCATAGCCTAGGAAGAGAACATCGCAAATATTCTCTCCTCTTCCTCTCTCTCTCTCAGCCCTTCAGTCTCTTCGATGTGCACTTTCAACCCTTTCAGAACTAACTCTATCATTGACTCTTTAAAATGACTTTTGCATTTATTATACTCCCAAAATTAACTGCACTGATGTTAATTAATCATAATATTAAAACTCACTAGGCAAGTGAAATTACAAAAAGTTCCTTTTGTTCAAGGATTAGGTACAAATTATACTAGACAACACTATGAAAAATATTGGTCTTTGGGAGAGGTTGGCCAGCTTTTAAAGAATATTTTTATGACAAAGTAACCAAATCTTAAAATAAAAGTAGCATGAAAAGAAAATTACTACTATAATCATTACTACTATTATCTTGTCCTCTATTTAATATATACCTATATATCTATCTTTTATTGTTTTATTTGAAAAAAGTTTTAAGAATTTTTTATTTTTATAAGAAAGAAAAAGCCTTTTCTTATAGGTTAGGTGAAAATTTTATTTTCATGCTGTAGTTCATTTGAATTATATGTAACAATAAAAAATTACATTCTGATTGTAGTTGATTAACTGGGGAAGCTGTATTTCCAACTAATCAACAGAACATTGTATATTTGGGATTTAACCCAGATCTACTCAGCACTGCCTCTCTTGTCATATATTATGTTTAAGATTGTAGGTCCCTGGGAAAATAAGTAGAAACTCCTATGGAATTCAACATATTAGACCTGGAAGGGAATTAGAAAGAATATAGTCAATTCTATGTTTCTCCAGCTTACTTAATGCATAATGCAAATGGTAAGCTATTAAATTGATAGTCACGTTGACCTCAAATTCTATAGCATTGGGATGGGATAAGAATATTCTGTATCCTTGGCTAAAGATCTAATTCTGGGCATTTAAAAGCTCTATTTCTCAGTCCTCATTTGAAGACTTCATTTTCTTTTTCCTCACAGTATCCCAAAACAGATGCTTTCCATAAAACTCAGTGAAAATTGTGGGGAGGGGGAGAAACTAATAAAAATTCAATATGGTATAGAAAAGACCAAAGACATAAAATTACTAGTCTTGGAAAAAAATAATCTTTAAAAAAAAAGTCACGTTGATGTCTGGAGCCAACAGGAAAAGCTCCATGGAAATTTTGAGTACATTAGGACCAAAATGTTTGCACAAATGATTACTGTTTTTCACTCTAAGAAATTATTTTTAGCCTTTTAAAAACACTCATCCAAATAACTTAATTTGGTCAGACATGCTGTGGACAAATGGAAAGAATGTATTTCTCACTGGACTCTGTCTCTTTTCCATAGATAAAATCGCTATTCCAGATTTTGGTACTGGCGCCATGGAGAACTGGGGACTTGTCACTTACAGAGAAACAAACCTGCTTTATGACCCTCAGGAATCTGCCTCATCCAACCAGCAGAGGGTGGCCAGTGTGATTGCCCATGAACTAGTGCATCAGGTAAAGGATATTCGCATCAAATCGGCTTGTTTTGGAAACTGGCTTAAGACTATAGGAATAACTCAAAGTGTTGACTTAGCAGATAAAAAGTAGTCAACTCAGAAAATCCTGCATGCAAACCATTCTTAGAAAAATGGAAGGGATGAACCAAACCAGGGTGCACTGTATGTATGTATGGAAATGTAACAACGAGCCCCCCCAATGCAACTATTACATACTCATAAAAATGTGTTTTAAGAAAACATTCTTAGAACTAATAAACATTTAATCACAAAGAAACACTGAAGTCCTTTGCCATCAGTAAATACACAGGGGGCTTTCCTATAAGCTCTATATATTTCCAGTAATACAAAAATAAAGGGAGTAAATTAAGGAGAAATTAATATCATTAAAAAATCAGAATAAATAAAGCAGGACATAGATGTTAAGTGTAAAGCTTGCTGCTTCTGTGTCACAGAGATCAAATACACAAAGAAACACTTTGTAATTTTCAAGGTCTTTCTTCCATCAGGATAAGAATTTAACTATATCCTTATTGCTTATAATTTCAGTGGTTTGGAAATATTGTGACTATGGACTGGTGGGAAGACTTGTGGCTAAATGAAGGATTTGCTTCTTTTTTTGAGTACCTGGGAGTAAACCATGCAGAAAAAGACTGGCAAATGGTGAGCCCTAAACAGATACTGTCAAATCTCTATTTTCCTCCTGTAAAAAATATTGAACCCCTTCATCACAATGGTCCCAAATTAAGGGTCAAGTGCAGTGGTGAACTTGAAAGTCCATTATGAAAATAGAGTGGGGCCAGCTGCTTCAGCTGACATGTCAGTAAGACACTTTGCTCAGCCCTTGAGGACAATTGGCCACTATAGTCAAAAACACCTGTCAAGGCAGAAAAAGATAGTGACAACTAGTACAGAAAGTATCAAACCTGTGTTCAAGAATGTATCTACAGTGCTAACCTTCTGATAAAAATACCACTCTCCTCTTGTAAACTACTTACCCTAGATGGATTGTTGAAATAGTGTGGAAAAGAGATTTTAAAAAACTTAATGTTTAGAAGTTAGGTGCAAATTCAAATTCTGGATGCACCATTTTATAGATTCATGACAAGAACTGGGAACATGAACAAGTTACATAGTCCTTCTCAGTCAGTTCTCTCTTCAGTGCTCAATAAGAATATCGTTCTCTATCTTATAAGCTAAAAACCTCTCAAAATGTGCATCTAATAACCTTTTAATTAATATTTTTACCTTGTGGAGTGAGCCTGGACAAAAACTTCTAGGAACCCTACAGATTTTATTTAGAAAAACTAGGTACGTTATTTATGTTTTCATCACGTAAGTGTTTTCATCTGATTGTACATGTGAATGTATGTGTGCATATGTAGATACAGGTAAGTGACTAAAGAATTGCTAGAGGTTGTGTACCATGTAGAATACTGCCCTCTACTGGAAACATTTAAAAAAAGTAAATTGTTGAAGTCCTGGTAGTTTCCCTAACCTACTTTAAAAAGTGAAAAGGCTAATTCACAACAATTATTGCTTTAAAATTTTGATCTACATCAGGATTTTCAACCATGGAACTGTTGACACTTGGGGCAAGATAATTCTTTGTCACGTTGACTGTCAAATGCATTGTAGGATATTTAACCTCATCCCTGGTCTTTTTCTACTAATTGCTAGTAGTCCCCACCCCAGTCATTACAACCAAGTGTCTCCATGTACTTCCAAAAGGCCCCTGGGAGACAAAACAAAAACAAAAACAAAAAAACCCAAAAAACTCCCCTCATTGAAAAACCACTCATCTACACTGAAAATTGTTGATTTCAATAACTCGTTGAAAAAACATAAATGGAAAATTATGTTGTCTTTTCTTTCTTAAAGAAACCCAATGCCCTTCTTATATCAAACTTTTGTAAGAAATTATTACATTTTGGCATTGTTTCAAAAATAATTTTAGTGCTTAAAAACACTTCATGCCAGGTGTGGAGACTCACACCTGTAACTCAAGAGGCTGAGGCAGGATGCTCAAGAGTGTGAGGCTAGCTGAGGCTACATACTAAGACCCTGTTTTAGGAAACCAAGGACTGAGGTCAGTGCTCAGTGGTACAGCACTTGCCTAGCATATGCATGGCCTTGGGTTTGATCACCAGTACCGCAGATGGTGGTGGTGGGGGGAGCCTCATTATATTCCAGAAGAATTTGCTGTGCAGTTGTTGAAATTTAATCATACAGTACATTTACAATTCACTTAACCCTTCATCCATCCATTCCTTCTGAATTTACTGAACAGTAGATATGGCCCAAACAAGAATGAAACACATTTTTTTAGCTCTTAATGAATTCCCAATTAAAGGTCTTGGGGGTGAAAAAGTGAAATAATTAAAGATATTTAATAAGAGAGCTCTATAAATACCACAATAGTAGAGCCTCCTTTCATCAGTGAAAAAAAATCTGTGGGCCAGGAAGATAATATAACCTTCCAGTATCACAGACTATTGATATGAAAGCCAAGAGTACAGTCAAATTCCTGATACCAAGAATAGGATTCTTTTTGAATCCTATTGAACCTCTTAGGTATAAAAAAAAATCAAAATCCACATCAAAATTACCTTATTGGCAGTAATCACTCAACAATAATACCTTGTCTATTATTAATGGGAACCACAAAACTAGAAAATATAAACTGATATAGCATGTTCCTCTTCTGGAAATATTTTTAATGAACTAGGACCAATAAAGATGTTGATTTTTAAAAATTAGTATTGATTTAACAGAGTTCATATGAGAATCACATTGCTTAAGGATCAAAATAACAATGGCAACTCATGTGTTAAGCTCTCACTCTGTCAGGCATTATGCCAAATGCTTACCATGAACTATGTCGTCAAGTCCTGTGCACAAGGCCAAGGAGTAGGTGCCACTTGTAAGTGAAGGAATGTGCTTAAACTTACACATCAAGAGAACGAGAAAGACTGACCTTTGAACCCAGAAGGTCCCATTTCACAACCCCTAGATTTTGCTGACAAAACCCAGTGCTGAAATGAGAAGTGATTATTAGAACTAAAGAATAAGCTATTGTTTTCTTTAAATAATTATAATCATCCAAATCCCAATGACAAGTTGACATGAAACAAAAACTGAGCATCACCTTTACTACATGTTTAATTCTCAGAATAAACCTGTGAGGTAATGTAAAATCATTCCCTTCACACAGACATGGACACAGGTCTGGAAAAGTTTGGCACAGTCCAAAAGCCACAGAAGCAGTAGAATTCATAATTACTTGTTTGTCTTGACCTGTCTTATAGTACAGGTCAAAAGAATAATAAATACAAGAAAAGAATGGCAACAGACCAATGCAACATGAGATTAAAGACCAAATATTTGTCTTAAATAATTTGAGTCATTTACAATTATTTCCCCCAAGTTTTATTATGTATGGTATTATGAAATTTCTGTGGCTCATTCTGTCATTTCAGCGTGAACAGATATTACTTGACGATGTCTTACCTGTCCAAGAGGATGATTCTTTAATGACTTCACATCCAGTTGTTGTCACTGTGACAACTCCTGCTGAAATAACATCTGTTTTTGATGGAATATCATATAGCAAGGTGAGAGAAATATTGCATTATCTCCAACATCTTCCTGTTGGACTTTTTCTCTTAGTAAGTGCCTAAAACAGCTAGGAATGGTTAGGCTCTGCCTGAGCTCTAGAAAATAGGATAGAACTTACTCTGGGTGCTGACTATTCAATAGTAGTTGGTACTTTCAATAAAGCTAACCAATCCTGGTCATTGCCCAGAATTTTGAATCCAATTTTTAAAAATTTCTATTTTCACATTTGCTTATAACTACTTTTATTCTTTTTTTTATTCATTTACTCACATGTGCATACATTGTTTGGGTCATTGCTCCCCCCTGCCCCTTCAGTTCCAGGCAGCTCCTGTTCTGCCTTTATCACTAATTTTGTTGAAGAAAAGAGACAAGCCTAATAAGGAAGACAAAGCGTTTTTGCTAGTTGAGTTGAGGATAGCTATACAGAGAGATTGCTAGCATTGCTTTCATGTACACATGTGTTATGACCCATGTTAATTCATCTCTAACTGATCTTTGCACTGGTTACTGATCCCCTTCTCATGATAACCTGTTGTTTTAAGGTTTCTGTATTAGTTCCTCTGGAGTGGGGACATCAAACGCTTTCATATTATGGGTTTTCTATCTATTCCTATACCTCCCATATGTGCTCTCCCCTTATCATGTGATCCAAGTCCAACCACATTGCTGTATTTGCCCTAGATCTAAAGTCTGCATATGAGGGAGAACATAAGATTTTTGGTCTTCTGAGCTTGGCTGACCTCACTCAGAATGATGTTCTCCAGTTCCATCCATTTACCTGCAAGTGATAAGATTTCATTCTTTTTCATGGCTGAGTAAAATTCCACTGTGTACAAATACCACATTTTCTTGATCCATTCATCAATAATGGGGCATCTTGGTTGTTTCCATAACTTGGCTATTGTGAATAGCGCTGCAATAGACATGGGTGTGCAGGTGTCTCTGGAGTAATCTGTGTTACATTTCTTTGGGTATATCCCCAGGAGTGGGATTGCTGGATCATATGGCAGGTCTATGTTTAGAGTTTTAAGAAGTCTCCAAATTTTTTTCCAGAGTGGTTGTATCAGTTTGCATTCCTACTAGCAGTGGACTAGGGTTCCTTTTTCCCCACATCCTCACCAGCACTTGTTGTTGGTGGTGTTTTTGATGATGGCTATTCTAACAGGGGTGAGGTGGAATCTTAGTGAGGTTTTGATTTTCATTTCCTTTATGGCCAGAGATGGTGGGCATTTTTTCATGTATTTTTTGCCATTTGGATTTCTTCTTTTGAGAAAGTTCTGTTTAGTTCAGTTGCCCATTTCTTAATTGGTTCATTGATTTTAGGAGAGTTTAGTTTCTTAAGTTCCCTGTATATTCTGGTTATCAGTCCTTTGATATATAGTTGGCAAATGTGTTCTCCCATTCTGTAGGTGATCTCTTCAGTTTACAGACCATTTCTTTTGTTGTGCAGAAGCTTTTTAATTTCATGAAGTTCCATTTATTCATCTTTCTCTTAGTTGCTGGGCTGCTGGGGTTCTATTGAGGAAGTCTTTGCCTATACCTATTATTTCCAGAGTGTTTCCTGCTCCTTCCTGTACCAACTTCAGAGTTTCAGGTCTGATATTTAGGTCCTTGATCCATTTTGAGTTGATACTAATACAGAGTGATAGACATGGATCTAGTTTCAGTTTCTTACACATGGGTAACCACGTTTCCCAGCAACATTTGTTGAAGAGGTGGTCTTTTCTCCATCATATATTTTTGGCAACTTAGTCAAAAATAACGTAGGTATAGTTGTGTGGATTCATATTTGGGTCCTCTGTTCTGTTCCACTGGTCTTCATGTCTGTTTTTGTGCCAGTACCATGCTGTTTTTATTGCTATTGCTTTGTAATATAATTTGAAGTCAGGTATTGTGATACCTCCAGCATTGCTCTTTTTTGGCTGTTTGTAGTCTTTTGTGTATCCAAATGAACTTTAGGGTAGATTCTTCAATCTCTGTGATGAAAGTCATTGGGATTTTGATGGGAATTGCATTAAACATGTAGATTGCTTCTGGTAGTATAGCCATTTTTACTATGTTGATTCTGCCAATCCATGAGCATGGGATATCTCTCCACCTTCTGCAGTCTTCCTCGATCTCTTTCTTCATGAGTTTGTAATTCTCCTTATAGAGGTCATTCATATCCTTTGTTAAATTTACTCCTGGGTATTTGATTTTTTTTTGAGGCTATTGTGAATGGAGGTTTCCATATATTCCTTCTCAGTTTGTTTGTTGTTGGTGTATAAAAAAGCTAATGATTTTTGTAAGTTGATTTTGTATCCTGCCACCATACTGTAGCTGTTTCAGTGTCTAAGAGTTTTTAGGTAGAGTATTTTGGGTCTTTAAGGTATAGGATCATATTGTCTACAAATAAGGATATTTTTGCAGTTTTTTTACCTATCTGTATTCCTTTTATTTCTTCTTCTGCCTAATTGCTCTGGCTAGAAATTTCAGTACTGTGTTGAATAGGAGTGGGGATAGTGGGCACCCTTGTCTCATTCCTGATTTTAGGGGGAATGGTTTCAGTTTTTCACCATTAAGTATGATGTTTGTCATATATAGCCTTTATAATGTTGAGGTACATTCTTTCTATTCCTAATTTTCTTAGCGCTTTTATCATGAAGTGGTGTTGGATCTTGTCGAAGGCTTTTTCTGCATCTATTGAGATGATCAAATGGTTTTTGTCTTTGTTTCTATTGATGTGCTGTATTACATTTATAGATTTGTGTATGTTAAACCACCCCTGCATTCCTGGGATAAAGTCGACTTGGTCATGGTGGATGATCTTTCTGATGTATTGTTGGAATTCGGTTTGCCATTATTTTATTAAGGATTTTTGCATCGATATTCATTAAGGAAATTGGCCTGTAGTTCTCCTTTTTGGAGATGTCTTTGTCTGGTTTGGGGATTAGAGTAATATTGGCTTCATAAAATGAGTTAGGCAGTGCTCCTTCCCTTTCTAGTTCATGGAACAGTTTAGGGAGAGTTGGTATTAGCTCTTCTTTAAATGTCTGATAGAATTCAGCAGTGAATCCATCAGGTCCTGGACTTTTCTTTTTTGGGAGGCTCTTGATAGCTGCTTCAATTTCTTTTTGTGTTATAGATCTATTCGGGTGATTAATATCTTCTTGGTTCAGTTTTGGGTAGTTGTAAGTTTCTAGAAATCTGTCCATTTCTTCAAGATTTTCAAATTTATTAGAGTATGGGCTCTCAAAGTAATCTCTGATGATTTTTGGATTTCTGTGGTGTTTGTTGTTATCTCCCCTTTTGCATTTCTGATTATACTGATTTGGGTTTTTTCTCTCCTCATTTTAGTCAGGTTTGCCAGGGGTCTGGTCAATCTTATTTATTTTTTCAAAGAACCAGCTTTTTGTTTCATTGATTCTTTGTATGGTTTTTTTTGTTCCTATTTCATTGATTTCAGCCCTTATTTTAATTATTTCTTTCCTTCTGCTTGTTTTGAGATTTGCTTGTTCTTGTTTTTCTAGGAGTTTGAGATGTAGTGTTAGGTCATTGATTTGAGATCTTTCTGTCCTTTTAATATATGCATTCATGGTTATAAACTTTCCTCTTAGGACTACCTTTGCTGTGTCCCATAAGTTCCAGTAGGTCATGTTTTCATTTTCATTAGCTTCCAAGAAACTTTTAATTTCCTCTTTTATTTCATTAGTGACCCATTCATCATTGAGTAACGTGTTGTTCCGCTATTTTTTACTGCTGTTTTTGTTGTTGATTTCTAGTTTTAATGCATTGTGATCAGATAGAATGCATGTGATTATTTCTTTTTTCTTATATTTGCTGAGGCTTGCTTTGTGCCCTAAGAGATGATCAATTTTGGAAAAGATTCCCTGGGCTGCTGAAAAGAATGTGCATTGTATAGAAGTTGGATGAAATATCCTGTAGACATCAGCTAGGTCCTTTTGATCAATGGTGTGATTTAATTCTAGGATTTCTTTATTGATTTTTTTGTTTGGATGACTGATCTATTGGTGATACGGGGGTATTAAGGTCTCCCACTACCACTGTGTTGGTGTCTATGTATGTGTTTAGGTCCTTCAGAGTATGTGTGATGAAATTGGGTGCATTGACATTGGTTGCATATAGGTTGATAATTGTTATTTCCTTTTTGTGTATTTCCCCTTTTATTAGTATGGAGTGTCCTTCTTTATCTCGTTTGATCAATGTAGGTTTGAAGACTACTTTGTCCGAGATAAGTATTGCTACCCCTGCCTGTTTGCGGGGACCATTGGCTTGGTAAATCTTCTTCTAGCCTTTCACTGTCAGCCAGTGCTTGTTTCTGTCAATGAGATGGATCTCCTGTAAACAACAGATTGTTTGATCTTCCTTTTTAATCCAGTTTTTCATACGGTGTCTTTTGATGGGGGAATTTAGTCTATTAACATTCAGTGTTAGTATTGATAGGTATGTGGTGATCCCTGTCATGTAGTTGTCTTTTTTGATTAATGGTTTGATATTGTGTAGCTGAATCAGTGTTACTCTCTACTTTCTTGCCTTTTCTTCTCCTGTGGTTTGATATTGACTGCCCTTTCATGGTTTTGTTTGCTTTCATTTTCTTTGTGCAGAATTCCTTAGAGAATCTTTTATAGTGGTGGCTTGGTGGTCATATATTGTTTTAGTTTCTGCTTATCATGGAACACTTTTATTGTTCCATCTATTTTAAATAATAGTTTTTCTGGGTAGAGTATCTTAGGATTGAAGTTATTTTTATTCAGTGCTTGGAAGACTTCACTCCATGCTCTTCTTGATTTTAATGTTTCCATTGAGAAGTCTGCTGTGATTTTGAAAGGTTTACCTTTGTATGTTATTTATTTTTTCTTTCTTACAGCCTTCAATATTCTTTCTCTAGTCTCTGTACTTGTTGTTTTAATGATAATATGTCATGGGGTAGTTCTGTTTGGTGTTCTGGAGGCTTCCTTTACCTAAATGGGCATAGTTTTCTCTAGATTTGGGAAATTTTCTGTTATTATTTTGTTGAATATATTACACATTTCTTTTGCTTGCACCTCTTCTCCTTCTTCAATGCCCATGATTTGCAGGTTTGGTCTTTTGATGGAGTCAGTGAGTTCTTGCATTTTCTTTTCACAGGTGTTGAGTAGTTTACCTAATAGTTCTTCAGTTTTTCCTTTAATTTTCATTGCATCTTCAAGTTCTGAGATTCTGTCTTCTGTTTCTTCTCTTCTGCTGGAATGGCCTTCCATTTTGTTTTGTATTTCTGTTTCATTCTTTTTTCTGAGGTTTTCCATGTCATGGGTTACTTCATCTTTAATACTGTCAATTTTTGTCCTTAATTTGTTTATCTCTTTGTTTATGGTGGTCTCAGTTTCAGTTTAGTTTTTATTTAGGGCTTCTATGATTTTATTTATTTGTTTTTAGGTTTTCTCATATTCTTTGTTTTTGTTGTCTTGGAATTTCTTGAGTGCCTCCTGTATGTTTTGGTTGACCATGTCTAGTAACATCTCTATGAAATTCTCATTAATTACTTATAGGATTTCTTCTTTCAGGTTGTTCTTGTGGGCTTTGTTGGGTTCCTTAGTATAGTTTATCTTTGTTTTGTTGGAGTCTGGATCTGAGTATCCTTTTTCTTCATTTTGCCCTAAATCCTTTACTACTTTATTTTGGGGGGTGGGGAGAATGTTTTCCCTGACTTTTTCTTCTTCTTATTTTTCCACTAGGTACCATTTCTGTCCCTGGATTATGTGTAATTTAGTATTAGCTTGGTTGCAATATGAATATTAACAAAACCAAGAGAGAATAATAAAAAAGAGAAGGAGAGGGAAAGATAAAAGGAAGAGAGAAAAGAGGAAAAAAGAAAGAAAGAAAGAAAAAAGATGGGAGAGATGGTGGGCGACTGCAAACCAGGCAGGCTTAAAGAAGGGAGGAAAAAAAAATAATAATCACCAGTTCTGGAACAGTAAAATTACAGGCAGTCTTAGCATCCAGTCCTGTCTGTGTACCTCTTAGGTACGTTTGGAGTGCTCTAGTGGCAGCCCGAGCTGAAGCCTGGCAGTGCAGTTATCTGGAAAGCCTGTAGAGCTGGGGCCTGGCTCTACCCAAGAGACAGGGATCCCGGCAGGCTGGGGGATGCTGCTGGGGCATGCATCCTGTGTGGCCCAAGGGGTGGGGGTCCTGGAAGAGCGTGGATCCAGCATGGGGTTAGGGCCTGGCATAGCCTGAGGGGTGGGGATCCTGGCAGAGCAGAGCAGTCGCTCTGCGGGCCTGCGGGGTGGGGACTTGGCAGGCCAGCTGTTATTTTATTAGATTGTGGCGTGGAGAAGCCTTCCACGATCTAAAGGTTTAGAGTGCCATATTTTTGGCTCTCTCTGGTCCTTTACTTCAGCCAAGCATGTCTCTGGCATCTCCATAGGGTCCCTGGTTCACTACTTTTATTCTGATAAATAAACATTTAGACTTTAAGCATCCAATGAAAATGCTTTTCTTAAGACAGTAAATGTTACTTTTCTGGTATGATGTCGTTGAGGAATGCCATACCTTTAATGCTTCTGGTAAACATTTCAATCCAACTCAATAGAAGGAGATAGCTCTATTCATTTTAACATGAGGTTTAAATATGACTTTGTCAGCATATTGTAGATATGCTAACACTCAAACTTTATGAAATTTTGCTGAAAATCTATAGCTCAAAGTTTTATATTACCCATTCTCTTTCACTACACCTCTTACAAGTTCTTTTAAACATACAGTATTCCATACCTGTATATAACAAAATTAAAATTTTTGTTTTAGTTATTTTCCACATCAGTTTCTCATAGTTTACCCACTACATTATATCATTCAAAAGCTTGTAAACTGTTACATTTTTATTATCCTAGGTTATACCTAAAAATTTTATTCATATTTGAATTATTAAGATGAATGCTTATTAAAATTGGCCTTAGCAAAAACAACTATTAGTACTTGAAGTTTACAGCATATTTCAGCTTCCCTTATCATATCATTCCCAGGGCATCATTTCAGGCTTCTTTTATTTATTTTTCTTTCACATTATTAGTAGTTCTTTTTACCTTCCTAATCTACTTATAGCCTATTTTAATAACTCACCTGGGAGACATTAGAATCTGTCCTCCCTGAGTTCTAGGTATTCCATAGGCTTAAAATAAAGGTAAGAAACGAACAAATAAATGTTTCGAAGCATCTAGTCTTTTTACTAGGACCCCAAACAATTTTAAATGCTTAATAAGTGATAGTAAAAATTACTAAGTTAAGTGGAGAGACAATATTTTTCTGGTCAGTTACTTGAACATTGCTTTAATATTTATAAATAATTAATCTAAGAGTTAATTTTTTATTTTATAACTTTTACATTTAAGAGTTAATATTATAACATATGAAAGAAAATTAGAAAACAGAGTTATCAGATTCTTCACATGAAAGAAAATCAATGAGATTAATACTTTTGAGAGATTTTGGACTTAAGTTACATATTTGTATTAAATTGTTTGACAAGATGATTCTCAGACTCTCTCCTTCCTTCTGTTTAATGTAATTGTTTTTCCAGCATGGTGCTATAGTTTATAATTTGTCAAAATTTTACCTTGAAACTTTCTTCCTCAAAGAATGTGATTTTAAAAAACAAAACAAAATTCTACTTCTTTTATTAGCCAAGCTCCACCTGCTGGTTGATTTGGGGAAGTGCAACCATTGTTTCAGCCTCAATCCCCTGAAAGGATGGCCATTTAGAAATTCTCTTCACTTTTTAGTTATTTAGAAGCATAGATACAGGGGTGCTTCAAGTGATGTTTTTCTCCTAAAATCATAGACCTATAATCATATAATTTAGCAGATTCATCTTAAAGTAACAGTCTCACAAATATAATTGTGAAATGTCACAATAGTGATAACTGATATTTGTTCCCTCCGTAACCTGTATTAGTTTAATCAGTTATTTTTTATCCATCATAGGGAGCTTCTATTCTGAGAATGCTTGAAGACTGGATAACACCAGAGAAATTTCAAGAAGGATGTCGGGTATGACTTATTACTGTCAGTAATATTAAAGGCAAACTATGTATACTGTGTGTGGTTGGTGAATGTTAGATCTATGGCTAACTAAGAATTGCTCCCTTTTTGCTTCCCTTACTTAGGGGTAGATAATACAGCAAGAGATAACAGGTGATTTCACATGAAGGCCCTGCATGCATTGTATCAGTAATAATCATTTACCAGAATTGTCATGGAGAAGTTCAAGTAGATGACTTTGTCATTTTTGATACCCTTTCCTTACATGTTATGCAGTTTGGTTACCCTAACAGAACACCACAGACTTGTGGCTTAAACAACTGACATTTATTTTTTCACAGTTCTGGAGACTGGAAGTCTAAGATCAAGGTGCTGTCAGTTCAGTTCCTTTCCTTGTCTTATAGATGACCACCTTTTTGCTGTGTCCTCACATAGCAAAGAGAGAGAGAGCACCCTGGTGGCTTTTGTAAGAACATTGATCTCATCATGAGAGTCTCATCTCTCATGGCTTCATCTAAATTTGAACAGCTCCCAAAGACATCACCTCCAAATACCATCATGTTGGGGGCCAATTCTTCAACAAATAAATTTTGGGGGAACACAGTTCATTCCATAGCAAAATAATATGAAAGTCTAACTCTATCTCTAAGGGTCTGCCCTTACAATGAGCAGAAGACTTTTTCCTTATTATTGGACTAGAAAAAATCAGTGTAAATATTTTTTTTACTGTGGAGTCAATGGATAAAGAGGTCTGCTTCCTTCTGGAAAGAGAAATAGAAATGAATTTTCTAATGCACTGCACACATCCCACCTAAACACACTACTCCAATGGAGGCTTCAGTTTCATTCTCCTTCTTCTAGCAGAGGCTTCGGTTTCATTCTCCTTCTTCTAGCAGACCCTCAGCCAATTGGCTCAGATCTGGTGTTTTATAACAGATATTACTGAAGTCACTGCAGTGTGTCCCCATAACTGCTCTGTCTGCAGGTTAAAAACTAAGTCCTGTTCCTGCTCCTTCTCTCCCACCCCCACCCTCCCACTGTGACAGCCCCTGGGAGTTGGGAGTCGCAGCGGTGTTGGTGGCACCCAGTCCATATAGCAGAAAGCAGGGTGGAACAGGGGCCCTAACTTCCACAGAGAGTACCAGTTCTTCTTTGACATATGATTTCCCAAGAAAGAGAGAGAGAGAGAGAGAGAGAGAGAGAGAGAGAGAGAGAGAGAGAGAGAAAAGGGAGGAAGAGAGAAAGAAAAAAGAAAATTCAATATTAACTTTAGGGTTGGGCATGTAGCTCAGTGGTAGAGTGCTTGTCTAGAATGTGTAAGGTCCTGGGTTCATTCCTTAGCCCCTCCCCCCAAATAGTTAATATTCCATTAATATAGTTTTCATTGTAAATGAAATTGTCACATATAAATAGCACATTCTTGGTATCTTCAGAACTGAGTTCAAATTAAAATTAAATTAAAAGTACTTCAAATCAACTTTTTTAGAGAAGTACCATTAACGGTAAACTGCTAATCTAATAATTCCATAGCACACTCACGTTTCCTTTAACCTGATAATCTCTTATAACTAATTTTAAAAGTCTTGTCTCAACTTTTCTCAAGTTAAAGTCTTCTGCTACTCTAACATTGACTATAGATGGTGTTAAAAACTGAACTAGGATGAATAGTTAGTAGTTTTTCATACCAGTATTGTACTATGGAATAGAATTTACAAGAAGAGCCACCAAAACACTCTTCTTTCAATCTTCAGATACTAGGTAATATCTGACAATGGTATGTGACCAATATACACCAATTCAGAAAGTTCTCAGACCAGCTTGGACACTCCTTCACCCAATAGCTATTACCATCACACTGTAATTGTCACTCCTAAATCCCACAATCTGTGAAATTAGAGTTCAAAGTCTTTCCCATACAAATACTAACTTTCAGCCAAAAGTGGCTCTCATTAGTTAATCTGATAGCTGTTGAATCTGGGGGTGACCAGTTGTCAGTTTTCCTTCATGCATTCCACATTTCCTTAAATCTGACCTCAGATAGCAAAATAAGGCAAAGTCACCAACTAGAAAATCCTCAAGGCTATACTGGTATTAAAAGAAAGTATAATAAGTAATGGAGAATTGATAATAATGTATGTTTGTGAAAAAGAAACTGAGAAAGATGTACATCCTTTCTTTTTCTACTAGTATCAGTAGTGTACCTGGTAAAATAGAAATGACTGAGCTAAAAAATGTCCTTTTCCTTCCTGAAATACTAGGAGTAGAAATACACTTTCCCTTTGAGCTCACCAGTACCTAGGTACCATGACCTAGGCTGCCATGTGATTTTGACTAGAATGACTACATTGTGATTATCCAAGTGAAGGAGAAAATTTATTTGTATAGAGTATTTGGAATTACTAATTGAGACAAAATAAATACAGTATCTTTAATATAGTGATTCTATAAATTTCTATTCAGCTCAGGATAATTAATAAATTACCATTTAAAAAACAAGAATAACAACAATCATGATAAAAACTACACACACTGATCCAGGATTCAGAATTCCCCTCCTATCACTATCAAGTGGATCTCTAGGTGTCCAGGTACTTAGGCAAAGCACTATCCTTCACCTCAAAAATGTGGGAGTCATATCAAATAATATTTAAGGTCCCAACTAGTTCTAAGATTGTCAGTATTTCTAAGCTCAAAACCTTGTAAGTATACAAACTTCTCTAAATCAATTTTGAGAAGATAAGACATGAGCAGTGTCTCATGTCTTATCTCAGCTACTTGGAAGGAAGAGATAGAAGGATTTCAGTTGGAGGCTAGCCCGGTCAAAGAACTAGCAAAACCTTATCTTAACAAATAAGCCAGGTATAGCGGTGCATGGCTGTCATCCATGAAGCAGAAGCAGAAGTAGGAAGATGGTGGTCCGAGGTCAGGCCCAGGCCAAAGCAAGACCGTGTCTGAAAAATAACTAAAGACAGAGGGACTGGAGGCATAACTCAAGTGGTAGAGCACCTGCCTAGCAAGCACAAGGCCCTGATCTCAAACCCCAGTACCACAAACAAACAAAAAAACCCTCACAATAATATTCAGTAGTGTCTTTGGTCATTAATTGTCATCAATTCACGAATATGGCTTTGATTATTATTATACTATCTAATTATTTTATTATGATACAATTAGTGATTAGTGCAATGCTGGAAGCAATACCAAAAAAATGATAGATTATTTGCTTCCTTTCTCTTCCTTTGCCTGCCCTCTGGTGGTAATGTTGAGAAGTGAATTACCCAAAACAACAGAAATGGAGGCAGGGATCCAAAGTGGCCTCAGCCTTCCCCCAGTCTTCCTGGAGTTCTGTTAATTTTGTTTTAACTCTCTGTGTTTGAAATGAAGAGGAATTTAAAAGATAATGTAATTTAAGTATAGCATTTGTTGAAAATTATAGCAATTTAGGTTGAAAATTATTTATACAAGCTTAACTATTAAGAACACTTAAAAAGGTTTTTTTTCTCACTAAGACTTCATATTTTAAACAGGACATTTTAGAAATAATAGGAGTGATTCAATAGGACTTTGGAAAGTTTCCTGGAGAACTACAGCCAGTGCCCATTTAGGAGATTAGGAGCGCACAGGGATTTTCTCTGGATATATTTTACTCCATTTCTGAAAATTCATAGACAGAGAAAGATTTTGTGAACAGAATTGTCTGAAGAGGAAGACTTCTATTTAAAAGATTCACCTTTTACAAGTGTTTGAAGAGTGAAGACTTATTGTTTAAAGTAAATAATTTCTTTATTTCATCCCATTGTCACTATCATTATTATTGTTTAAAAGATTGTGTATTCATTTCCTCAGAACAGAAGCCAACAGAGAAAATCCAGCTTACCACTCATTTTGTTTTTAAGGTTCATGTACTAAAGGAAATTTCTATATTTTAAAATGACTGAAAACATAATAGGAATACTCATGACATGAAAATTATATAAAAATTCAAATTATCAGTGTGCATGGCTAATGTTTTATTGGAAGACAGCCATACTCATTTATTTGCATATTGTCTAAGGTTGATTTTGTGCCATGGAGACAGAATTGAGCAGTTGTGAGTAGGGGTTAAGTTCATATTGTGGAAGTATGAGAAAATCCAATATTGCCTTCTAAAGTACTTATTAATCTCTTGCATATAGCTTTACCTGAAAAAATTCCAGTTCCAGAATGCAAAAACTTCAGATTTTTGGGAATCACTGGAAGAGGTAAGGAAGAGCATATCGCCAAGTGTTTCTTTGTGTAATTAACACATGATTTATCCATCATTTCTTTATCTAACTATTCTACCCTTTCTATTTCCCCTTATTTATACATTTTTTTTCAATCTCAGGCAAGTAATCTACCAGTGAAAGAAGTAATGGATACCTGGACTAGCCAGATGGGTTATCCTGTGCTTGATGTGCATGATCTGGGGAACATCACGCAGAAACGCTTTCTGTTGGACTCAAAAGCTGACCCTTCCCAGCCACCTTCAGACTTTGGGTAAGGATCCACAAAGCAGTTCAAAAGAAAAGTAGGTACATGACAAAAATTCTGGTCATATGCGTGGATCTTGCTCTCATATGCATGCTTGATGGATGGTGGTATAAGGCATTATTTAGGGAATGAGATCAAAACTAACCTAATGGCCTCCATTTCAAAATGGTAGGTTGAATAATTGTGTCTATGTCTATTCTTCCCAGATTTTAGAGAACAGAGGAATGAAGAAGTAAAAGAAATGAACCTGTAAGAGTAAAAAAGAACATAATGGTGGGGCTGTATGTGTCACAGAATTCTGGAAGACAAGCAGAAGGAGAATTAGTGAGGGAAAACAAGCTAAGGAAGATGCAGGCAGATAGTAATAATAAGGGCACTTCACTATTTCTAGACAGGCTTTGGGCTCAGGTTCAGAATGAAGACTGAAGGGCAGATGTGAGAAGTCAAGCTGGTGCCAGTTGGACCTGTTTCCTTACTTTATCCCCACCTACACTATTTCTTTGTACAGAACCCTTGGAAATCTGGCAATGACCCCAGGTAAAAATCCAGAGAGCTTTTTTCTTAAGACATAGACTAAATCAGTGAAAAGAGCCAAGGACTTCCATTTTGTTGGGTCTCCCAGAGCAAAGCCTTCTTCATATGGCTTCTTCACCCATCAGTTGTGGGATAGGTGGGCTGGAACTCTCAGTTGGTGCTATGCAGTGGAGAAGGCTATCTCAAAACCACATCACCCTCTTCAGTAGTGGAGTGATTACAAACCAGACAGACATCAAGAATGATCAACTTGTTTCTTCTTTCTTAATGAAGAAACACAAGACACATAAAAACTCTCTACACATCAAAGCTTAAAAGCCTATGTGACCAAACAGACAAACAAATGAGAAAACCCTGACTCTCTAAGAAATGCAAGTGAGGAGCCAGAAAATAAATTCATGAAATATATTCAGAGATCAAAGCAACTATTATAACTATTATCTAAGACAGAGAACGTCTTGAAAAGGCAAGCTGAGAACACAAAAGGGCTCTGGAAGGTGAAATTTTGGATGTCAAAAAAAAAATAGGCTAACTAGAAGTAAATTTGGGAGAAATTCTTTAAAAATAGAGAGCAAACACACCTGATAAATGTGAAAGAGAAGACCAATATAGAAAGTCCAACACGTGGCTAATAGGAATCCCTCAAAAAGAAAACAGAAGCATAAGGGCAAAGTATATTTTAAAAAGCTATAAAACAATACGAGGTTTCTGATGAATAAGTTCCACTTAGCATACAGTACAAAAAGGAAAAAGAAAATACAAGTTGAGGGTGTAGCTCAGTGCTAGAGCAAATGGTTAGCATGCAGGAAGTCCTGGATTCAGTCTCCAGCAGCAAGATCAAAACAAAACAACAGCAGCAACAAACCCTACCTAGATGGAGCCTCAGGATCTTTAGAAAACAGTTACCATGGCATAGACTTCTCCCTAGCAACCTGAATGCAAGAAGAGAATGGAATAATGCCTCCAAAATATTGAAGCAAAAGATATTTTCAGCTTCTAATTCTACACCCAAACTAAACCAAGTAATGATAGTAATGATATTTTTAGAAAATGCAATCCCAGAAAAATGCCTTCCAAATAACACTTAGAAAGTGACTTAAGGTGGGATTGGGGGTTAGAGAGGAAGAAAAAGAAAATGAAGAGGTAGGAATAAATCAAAATGGAGAAAGACATGAGACATGGAATCAGTGCTTCCCACCTAGGGGAGCATGGACTGTCTGTGAGAGCAGATCACTAGTCAAAGCTGGTAATCTTCATGATAAAGAAATTATTTATCCCCACTAGATAGCCTGGTTGGGAAGATGGAAATACCTGGGGACTTGGTGAAAGCCCATTACTTTGGTCATCTATAAAAAAAGAAATCCAAAATCAAAGAGTATATATAAAAATTATGATATAAAAATATGAAGAAGGTAGAAGGAGTTTTTTATTTTGATGAATTTATGTACAAATTTCCCTAATTAAATTCTCCTGGGTATTTAAGCAGTGCTTATAAACATAATCAAATCTCTTGCATATACATTTATAGAGATGTATAAATGCAACCAAATTCTTCTGAACACTACTAATCAAAATTTCTAATTTCAAAACTATGACTACCTACAGATAGTCTATAGACTATAGACTATAGATTTAGATTTATAAATCATTTTTTGAAATGTTCCCCAAATTAAATTTTATTTACTTATTTTTTAAAATTATTCATTTATTCACACATGTGTACATTGTTTGAGTCATTTCTACCCCCTCCCCTGACCCCACACTCTCCCTAGATTTATAAATCTAATCAGAATCCTTGTATCTTTTAAAAATTCCTTGATATTTATAAATTTAGATTTATAAATATTAAAAAAACCTATGTATTTTCATAAATCTTTCATAAAACTTTACCAAACAAGATTTTTCCAGACATTTAAACATGACTACTAAGTTACAGTTTTCTAAGTATTTCAACTAAAATTACAAATCACATATATTAATTTCTCTACTTTTCCAGCTTTTAAAAAAATGCTTCCAGGGCTGGGGATATAGCTCAGTGGTAGAGCACTTGCCTAGCATGGAAAGGCCCTGGGTTCGATCCCCAGCATCACACACACACAGAAAATGTTTCAAATAATATGAATGCTGACAAAGCATTACTGCACAGCTGAGGATCTCAACACTTAACCACATTTGTATGTGGATACCTTGTACGAAGTCTTAATCCTCTAAATATTTCTGCATCAGCAAATAGTTTTGTGTGTACATTTCTGGGGTGGTAATTCCCTCCCCCAAACTAAAGGGAACAGATTAGAATCTCAGTACACCCAGCCCTGGGACCAGCCCAGGAAACTGGACACACCATTCTGGGGACATCATCCCCATCCAGTTTACCCAACTGAGCCCCTCCCAGTATGGATACTGGCTAAACCAGAGCAGCATGGTGTGTCACTGGTCCCTGGACATTGTTCCAATTTCACTCTTGCCCAGTTTTTATTGTTCCCTCCTTTCTACTTTTTTAATACTTAGTTTGGGTAGAGAGAATTTTACATCCACCCTCAACCTGGATAACCACCAGTGTCCAGTGCCTGATTCTTACTGGAAAGACCTTTGTCCAATTTATCTCCTTCTTAATGATTCCATTGGTGTTGTAGTCACATATATAAATTATCACAAGATCAATTATTCGGTAGCAATTAGAATAACACAAGGAAGGAGAATTACAGGGTGTGGATATGTTTCAGAAAGTGTTTATTAACTATAAACTGGTTTCTTTATAGTGACTATTTTATTCTAGAAAATTAGATTGGGCAACATTAATACTACTAGAGCCTTTGATACTAACATTGAAAGACATTTCTCACTTGTAAAACAAGAATCCATTTGGAAAGTTTCACAATAATTATTCTCTCTTGTCATCCATGTCCACTGATTTGCTGAGGCCGAATTAATTGGGAGAAGAGGGACTGTGAGGGTGGGGGTCACAGAAGATATTCTTTGCCCAGGATGTGATATTTAAGGTGAATATGAGAGGAGTGGCTTTTTGAGTTAGTCACTACAAAAACTATAATGTGTTTGAAGAACTCACAGTTTGACAGGAGCAATGTACATATAATACATAATACTTACTGAGCATTGGCTGAGTGGCTGGCACAAATTTAAATACATGTATTTTATGAGAACAGATGAGGAAACTGAAGCAGAGAGTGATGAAGTGAACTGGTCTAGACAGTAAGTGTTGGGGTCTTTCTTTGAACGCAGGCAGTCTGTCTCTAAAACCTGGACAACAGAGAGTGGCTATAAAAGTGGTGGGAGGGAGAGGAAGGTGGTGAGGACAGCAGGAGGCAGGTATGCAAACCATGTTAAAAATTTTGAACAATAGAGTACAAATTCAAGGATGCTAAGGAGAGAGTTGATGGGATCTCCTTTGCGTTTTCTCGGGTCCCTCTGGCTGCACCCGGGGGACTGATCAGTGAGGGTTGCAAATGGAAGCAGGGAGGCCAGCAAGACCACACTGCAGAGTCACTCATGTGAGAGGTCATGAGAATGATGAACCCTGACTAGGAGAGTGGGCTGGAGGGTGCAGCAGCTGTGCCAAAGATTCGGATTGAGCTAACATTTCTAACCTTAAAATAATATGCAGGGAGTTCCATCAGGTGAGTTTGCAGAGCTCAGTCTCCACTTAGAATATTGTTCTCTTACTGGACTGAAGTCATAGTCATGTTTCCAGAGAACTGACATATCTTCACAGACACACTTTATCATACATAATCCATGAAAACAGGTAGCAGAACCTGTTTTCTGCTTACAATTTAGGACGTTGGGAATTAAGTCACACTAAGCACACTCAGGTGTTTCCAGAAATTAAAATTGCCAAGTTACTTTATTGTCCAAGACATCAGACAATGAAGAGGACTCCAAAATTTTAAATTAGCTGCTTCCAAGATGCCAGTGGGAAACTGAGCTGGAGAAGCATCTAGAAAGTCAGATGTGTTATGTTCATTTTGTTCAGACCCATTACTGATTTTCCTTCTGGGAGCCTCGGACACAGCTCTCCCAGAGAAAATGAAGTTCAGAGAAACTGAAGTTGTTGTAAAGCAACTTCTGAAAATTAATAGTTCACACAAGTACAAATGAAAATCGGGGTACCTATGCTGTATGAAGTCGCACAGAGTAACTGCATATTTCCTTTTCTCTTTCTTTGTTTTGGTAGGGAAAGACCATGATGGAGAAAATCTCTTTGCTTTTCACTCTTTCCTCTTCATGGTACATGAACTGAAACAGCTCTGACTTGTTTTCAGATAATAATTCAGTTACAAAAGTCAATATAGTTTCTTGGGTTTATTCTGTGGACAACTCTAAACTATTCCTTTTATAGTTTCTATTTTATATTCCAGCAAATTAGATTGGCCATATTTAATACTGCTAGAGCGTTTGATTACCAAAATTAAAAATTTTTCTCTGTTGCAAAACAAGCTTCCATTGGGAAAATTTCCCAATAATTGTTTCCTGTCCTGTGAATCCACTGATTTTTAAGCCAAAGACCGTCAACTCTGGTTTTGAACTGATGGGACTGGGCTTTTGGCTATGAATCCCCCTACACACACACACACACACACACACACACACACACACACACACACACAATTTATTGCCACATGAGCTAAACATATCATCAGGGATAAAATCACTTTTTGTTACAATAAATCTTTAAATTTTATTCACCAAGACTTAGAGTAAGAAACGATATGAACATTTATACTTATCTTTAATACTTCTTATCTTTGGATATTGTTTGTATTTTATTTGGATTCACAGGGGAATGATTTTTAGTGACTATTTATCCTAAAGTCAACATCTTATCCCAGTTTTATTTTAAAAAGAGAGCTATGTATGCATAGAAAAAGAAACAGGAAATAGGTTCTTCCCTGTTGAGAACATTTATTAAAAATCAATAATAGCTGCTGAAAGAAAGCGACAGTAGAGCAAAAGTGATCCTTCCTTCATAATTAGTGCCATTATGCACCCAGAAAGAAATGGACCTTTTTCTAATCATCTTTTATCTTTTTTCATCATATATATTCCTGTTTGGTGGACAATGTAATCTGTTAAATTGTACTATAGTTTTTTGGCCTCCTCTAAGTCTTTTCTCACTGTTTGAATAATCCAAGACTAAGAAATGCTTACTGAACAGAGCTACTTATTATTCAAATGACCCATTCATATGTAAATTGTTGTTTTAACACCAAGTCCTCAACCATCTCTTAAAAATGGGTAACTTTCCTATCTCCATCTGAGGAATTTCTCTTTCAGGTAAGCTTAGGTGCCTTTGACAGTTTATTCTTTGTAAACAGGCAGAAGAATGCGAGGTGTGTCATCCTGGGACAATTAAAGCCAGTTTCTTTGGAGAAAATTGGGTTGGTCATATTTAATATTGATGGAAACTGTAATAGGTTAATGCACTAGTTACACCTTTAAAAATGAATTCTGATAAGACTATCATTCATTTATGAAGTTTCCATTTTTTTGACATTTGACTTAGCTGGAATTAGGTTAGAATCTGTGATGCTAGAATTAGGAAAATTACACAGCTTCAGTCTTCCATCATTTTTGTACTCTTGAAGAACTAATGACAGTATTTTTGTACCTGATCTTGGTAGTACAGCTTCTGCTCACTTTTAGACACAGTCTGGTTGGTACCAGAGACCATGTTTTAAAGGGGACAGCCAAAATGTGACGTCTCATTGTGGACACATGTCGTGGGGGAACTGTATGTGCTATTGTTTCAGTTAGTTTAGCACTGGAGAAAGATAGGAAAGAATGAAATGTCAGTGTGCACAGCAGCACCAAATTAGCACAGCAGCTCTGGAGAAGTGGGTAGGATGTGACTTAAACAGTGCTTCTTTGTCTATCTTCTGAGAAGCTGCAAAGGCCTTTAGAATGGCTTTGCCAACAGCAGATCTGGAGGTCATCAGTCAAGTGCAAAGGACCTTGTACTGAGAAGGGGAGGGAAAGATAGGAGTTGGGAGGACAGGGGAGGAGATAGGGCAAGAAAGATTGTCATAGCATTGAATGCTGTTAAGGGTCACATTCAGAAGAACGGGAACTTCAGGATTTCTTGCTTGGGCAGTCTGAGGAGAGTCCTCTGTCAGGGAGATAAGGATGGCACATTGAGATCTGGGTGAACAAAAGTGACAAAGAGATTCAAGGGTGAAGCACCAGTGGTGTCCATTACAGGACCCAAGAAACTTATGTACAGGTTTAACAAAACTTATAGCCAACACCATTCCACTGCAATAAAGTTGTCCAGAGGAGCTAGTGAAGATGCCTTTGAAATACTTCAATAGTTATACAAGGAAGGATTGCTTTTTTCATGTACACAGCAAAAATAGGTTCTCCTGGAATGACATAAATTTTATGATATCTTAGGAGAGATGGCAGACTAGCAGAGTGGCTCAAGTGGTAGAGAGCCACTCTAGCAAGTATGAGACACTGAGGTCAAATCCCAGTGCCTCCAAAAAAATAAAAAAAGAAAAGAAAAGAAAAAGGAGAGATGCAAACCCAATTCTCTGTTAGAGAATTGAATAATACAGATAAGCCAATTTGGAGTGGAAAATCAAACCAGCCATTAGTACATAGATTTACCTTCTTCCAAGATCTTCTGAGTTTTCTGATACATGAGATGAAGTGAGAACCAACCATCAAACAGACATTTAAGATCTCTTTCAGATTTCAATACTAAAATGTTAAGTATATATTATATCAAAATAGAAAGTTGACTCTCCCTCTGCCCCTTCCATGATGTGCCAGAAGCTCTAAATTGCAAAAGAGGAGGGCAAACTGGAACCCCCTGAAATAAGCTTATGTCATGGCTTTTCCTTTGCAGCCTGTGTGCTCATGATTCTAATTAACAGATACTTAGTGAACAGCGGAGACGCTTGCAGAGAGGGATGGTATAATTTCAACATAATTTCTAAAATGTATTTCCTTCACAAAATGGTACAGATTGTCTTCTGAATTCTAGCAATGTTTTGGATTCCTTAACGGAACTGTATCTTATTATAGTGTATGCAAGTGTGTGTGTGAATGCTCAATATTACAATGTGTAATACATTGTGTGATACAATGTGTGATATATTGCAAGGTATTTGATACTTTTATTCCAAAGCATCAAAGCATTAACTAAGTAATCTCCTTCATCCTTAGATAATTTTTGTGCAAAATTCTGCATGTTATGGATTTATAGAAGTTGAGAGCTCTCACATGACTATTTCTATCACTAAAGAGGTTTTAAGTAATTATATCAGTTGTTTACTACACATTGGGTAATCAATAATAAGGAAACTATGCTGTTTTATTGACTTTTACTTGTTCTTTTATTTTTTAGTAATAAAATTTGAATTTTTCTTTTTTAAAAATTTTAGTTACACCTGGAATATTCCAGTTAAATGGACCGAAAATAATGTATCAAGTACTGTAGTCTACAATAGGTCAGAAAAAGAAGGTAAATATTATTGATCGATTTATTTCTTCTCTGAATTGATATATTTCATTAAACTAATATAAGCATGAAGAGTCATCAATAAAGCCAGAACTTATGCAAATTTCAGCTGAAAGAGACCTTTTAATTTATTGATGCTTCCAAATTTTTATCTATAATGAGAACTTTTCTACCTTGAGACATTCTTTTTAATGATTTGTAATGACTTACACAATTAATACATTCCCATATCCAAAGAAGAGGTTTTACATTGGAAGATTGATGTGGTTCTCTTTCTTCTTTCTTTCCTTTCTTTCTTCCTCCTTCCTTCCCTCATTTTCTTCTTTCCCTTCCTCCTTCTCTCCTTCCTTTCTTTTTGCTTTTCTCTTTATATTAGATATGTAAATCATTGAGTTTCTTTTATTATTATTATTTCTTTATTCACATGTGCATACATTGTTTGGGTCATTTGTCCCTCCTGCCCCCACCCTCACCCTCTGTCCCCCCACCGCACCCCTCCCTTCCAGGCAGAACCTGTTCTGCACTTTTGTCCAGTTCTGTTGAAGAGTAGAAATAAGCAAAAATAAGAAAGACATAGCATTTTTGCTTGTACAGATAAGGACAGTTATACAGAGATATTCCTAGCATTGCTTTCATTGCTTTCATGTACAAATGTTTTACAACCCAGGTTGATTAATCTCTAACTGATCTTTACACTGGTTCCTGATCCCCTTCTTGTGTTGACCTCTGTTGCTTTAAGGTTTCTGTATGGATTCCTCTGGAGTGTGGACATCAAATGCTTTCATGTTTTGGGTTTTCTATCTAAGCCTGTACCTCCCGTATATGTTCTCACCTTGTCATGTAACCCAAGTCCTACAACATTGCTGCATTTGCCCTAGATCTAAAGTCCACATATGAGGGAGAACATATGATTTTTGGTCTTCTGAGCCTGGCTAACCTTGCTCAGGATGATGTTCTCCAGTTCCATCCATTTACTTGCAAATAATAAGATTTCATTCTTCTTCATGGCTGAGTAAAATTCCACTGTGTATAAATATCACATTTTCTTGATCCATTCGTCAGTGGTGGGGCATCTTGGTTGTTTCCATAACTTAGCTATTGTGAATAGTGCCGCAATAAACATGGGAGTGCAGGTGCCTCTGGAGTAACCTGTGTTGCATTCCTTTGGGTAAATCCCCAAGAGTGGGATTGCTGGATCATATGGCAGGTCTATGTTTAGATTTTTAAGAAGTCTTCAATTTTTTTCCAGAGTGATTGCACCAGCTTACATTCCCACCAGCAGTAGACTAGGGTTCCTTTTTCCCCACATCCTCACCAACACATGTTTTGGTGGTGTTTTTGCTGGTGGCTATTCTAACAGGGGTGAGATGGAATCTTAGTGAGGTTTTGATTTTCATTTCCATTATGGCTAGAGATGGTGAGCATTTTTTCATGTGTTTTTTTGGCCATTTGGATTTCTTCTTTTGAGAAAGTTCTATTTAGTTCAGTTGTCCATTTCTTAATTGGTTCATTGATTTTGAGAGAGTTTAGTTTCTTAAGTTCCCTGTATATTCTGGTTCCCAGTCCTTTGTCTGATGTATACCTGGTAAATATTTTCTCCCACTCTGTGGGTGGTCTCTTCAGTTTAGAGACCATTTCTTTTGTTGTGCAGAAGCTTTTTAATTTTATGAAGTCCTATTTGTCCATCCTTTCTCTTAGTTGCTGGGCTGCAGGGTTCTATTGAGGAAGTCCTTGCCTATACCTATTAGTTCCAGAGTGTTTTCTGCTCCTTCCTGTACCAACTTCAGAGTTTTGGGTCGGATATTAAGGTCCTTGATCCATTTTAAGTTGATACTAGTACAGGGTGATAGACATGGATCTAGCTTTAGTTTCTTGCAGATGGATAACAACTTTTTAATGATTCTTTTTAATAATTTGTAATGACTTACACAATTAATAAATTCCCATATCCAAAGAAGAGATTTTACATTGGAAAATTGATGTGGTTCCCTTTCTTCTTTCCTTCCTTCCTCCTTCCTTCCCTCATTTCCTTCTTCTTTCCCTTCCTCTTTCTCTCCTTTCTTTTTGCTTTTTTCTTTATATTAGATATATAAGTCATTGAGTTTCCTTAAATGTTATGTGACAGGCCTGGCTTTTTGTTTTGTTTTGTTTTTTGTCATGCTTTCATTGACTTAGAACAATCATTTTCTTTAAATATATTTCTTGTTCTTTCTCTATTGATTTTTCTTTTCCTTCCTGGAAAAAGTTCATGGTTATATAAGAACAAGGTGACATTACCATAAACTTCTAAATTATTGAAAAATAATAATTGAGGCAGATTTCAGCAGAAGTCCTGGAAGAATCTTGCTCTTTGTACTTTTTTACCACTGGACTTGTTTGTGTTTCAGAACATTTCTTATCTAAGACAAACTAGACTCTTCTTCACTTCATCTCATGAGGACTTGGTCTCAGAATAGCATTTGGTGTAGACTTTCACCCGTGGCTTCTTGAGGCTAAAAGCGGAATGCTCATCCCTTATCTATGCATGTCTGCTTGCTCCGGCAAAGCACTCAAACTATTAGTTATGTCTTCTTTCACCTGGCAAGTAAGTTTTCACCCTGATATTTAACAAAGAAGACTTTATTAAGATATAATTCAGAGGGCTGTAGATGTGGCTTAAGCAGTAGAACATCTGCTTTGCAAGTATAAAGACCTGAATTCAAGCTCCATACAACTTTCCCATGTGTTTTATTATTTTTTTAGTTATTTATTTTTGCCATGTTAAAGATCAAACCTGGAGCCTTGAGCATATAGATGTAGCCTTGAGCTACATCCCCAGCCTCAATTTGTCCACTTAAAGTTGTTTTTGTTATAGTCACAGGTATGTGATATCACCACAGTTAACTTCAGAGCATTTTCATAACCTCAGAAAGAGACCCTGTTACTATAGGTCTTCTCCCATTGTGCTCCCACACACCTGGCCCCTAAGCAGCCACTGAAGTAGTTTATACCTCTATAGATTTGTCTGTTCTGTACATTTCATATAAATGAAATGCTATAATAGTATTTCATGACTGTTATCTTAATGTTTTCAAGGTTTATCTATGTTCTCCCTGTACTTCATTCCTTTTTAGTGCCAAATTTTATCCTACTATACATACATACCACCTTTTATTTATTCATAGGTTGATAAATATTTGGCTCTCTTTAACTCTCGTAATACTGTTATAATCATCTGTGTACAAGTTTTCCTGTGTCTCCAAGAAGGTTTTTTTTTTTTAGTCTTTGGTATGTTTCCTTTTTTAACTTTTATTCTAAAATCTTTTGTTATTTATAGCTTTACTATAAGCTCTTTCAGCTTTGCTATTAAGAGTCCTCTCTGGACAAGGAATGCTATTAAGAGTCCTCTCTTGACAAGGAATGCTATTACAACAAAACTCCCCCTTCATCATTTATGCTAGCAATTGTTATAGCATTGTGGTCAACAATTCTCCTAAATTTTTCCAGAAATTCAAGATCATTCGTCTTAGTATTTACATAAGTGCATGTTTGCTTGAGTGCTAAGCTCTATCTCTTGTTGTCTCTTCTCTGACTATTTTCTTACTTATAAGCACATTTGCCAAATGAAAATCAACAAAACAGAAAAAAAAAAGACACTTAAAAAATGTGTAACAGCACTTGTAAAAGGCATAATAAGAAGGCTAGGATTTCGTTGGTAAATTTTAGGAGGATTTAGTTTAACTATTACCACATATTTTCCCTGTTGGTCACCATGTTTAACTGTCAAGAATGTCCTGACAGCAGCTTGATTGGCTGTTTACAAATTTAAAAGCATGAATAATTCATCCTAAAACAAATTACCCAGCATTGTCATGGAATGAAGATTCCATCTAATTGAATTTACTGAACTGTTTCATAAAATAAATTTCTAGAGTTAAGAATAAATATCCTTATAATATTTATTATGTACTTACTAGATAGAATATTTGGAATACTGAATTCAATCCTTATTTAATTATTGTTAATTGTTTCAAGCACATATTTACTAAAACTAACTTACATGCTAGATGTAAGGGTAGGCCTAGAGATAATGCAGGGGGAAAAACCCCACAACCCTTACTCTTGTGTAGACTATTATCTAGGCCTGGGTTAGCAGGAAGATCTAGTTCTGTCCTAAGTGGCTAGTGTGGTACTGCAGATAGTGAGGGTACTCACAGGATGAGCACTGGCCCAGATTTGGGGGTCCAGGAAAGCTTACTAAGGAAAAGAACACCCAGGCCAAGAGCACAGGGGCTAATGGTAGAGTCTGAATTGGTGATAGACTTGACCAAGTGCAGAGGAGACCTGAGTTTTGTTCAAGGTCTAGCATGAAGGTAAGAGAAGGAGCTCTTGTGTTCCTTTCTGTCCCTCTGATAACACATTTAACATATTTTTGGTATAATTATTTTCCTACCTGTGTCTTTCCTCCTCATGTACTCCATGAGGAAATGGAACTTATTCGATGTTGATGTTGCTGTTCAGTATCTCCAGCCTATCAGCAGGTACCTGATAATTGCTTATTAAATGAGTAAGTGAACAAATGAGTGAATGAAGAGGCTTGGATGCTCACAGAGTTATCATGACAAACCTACCCTTATCTGAAACATCAGAATCACAACTGGTCACTTAGCCAGAAGCAAACTAGACATCTTTTCCTACTTCAAAGTGCCTGCTCCATTTTTAGCTATGTCATAAGTTCCTGTTTCCTGTTGAGGACTTCAGCTCCCAGCTCAGAGCACAGATGACAAACATGTCCTACGTGTCTTGAATGGGCAACCAGCTCGTGTTACCAGTCGTTCCTCCCTGCTCTCAGTTGCTTTGATGATTCATCAGTTAGAAATTCCCTAGGCAAGAATGGGACTCCCCCTCTCCAGTCCTTTATTTACACTTGTATTGTATATGATAGTATAAGTAAGCATTAGAAAAAAATAAACATGTGATTTCTAACAACAGAAGAGGAACTCTGTCACTAAACCTTTTCTGGCTATTCCAACCTACCTTAAAAACCTCTCATTTTAAAGTATGATAATAATGACATCCTATTTTAAGTATAGTTCTCTGTTAAAATGAATTTATTCTTACCAAAATCTATTGCCTTATCCTACCTCTGCTATTCCTGCTCATTGGGATTTTATTATATGATAGTCATTCTATCAGCATAGTTTGTGCTGTCGGTTTTATTGGTCCACGTTCTTAGTATTATTACTTATATTTTAAACAAAATCATTGCCATTTAAACTCCATGTGCCCTTTTTTTTCTTTTTCAACTAAACTAAAAGTTCCTTGAAGACACAAACTACATATGATACTGCCTAGCCCCTGTCCCCTCTATTACCAAGAAGGTGCTATGTCCACCCTAAAAGTTTGGTAAGTCCTTGCTCAATGGAGTGTTGTTTGCCCCAGGCTGCTGCATTCCTAAAAGATGTCTGTTTATGCTTCAGTTATATTTTTAGCATCAGCTACTATTTTGGCTATTATCAACACATCTTCATTTAGTGTTATACTATATTTTTGGTCTTAATTTGCTGCTTTTTAACATTTGGAAGAATTGAAAGTTACCATATGATAGTCAGGAAACCGGTTTTGTTAAAACACAGTATTTTAAAGTAGGTATTCTTAAGTGCATAGAGTCTAGGAGAGGGTCTAAGGTCAAGAAGAGGTATAGACTTTGGGTTGACTGCTAAGTAGTTTAGACAACCAAATTCTGACTATAAAAGAGGTAGGGTTTACTAAAAAGTTATAATAGGTACATTTAAATATTTATTACCAAAATAATGTTGAGCATATATTTTTGTATGTGATGTCAAAGAGAGAGGGACTCATGTTGTCAAGCTAAGTCTTATGGGATATGCAAACTTTGATTGAATGATTATGGATTCAGTTTTGATGGTTCAGAAGCCCAGTTCATCAGTTCAGCCCTGGTCAGCCAAGACTTGGAAGATTTATTCTCTTAAGCCAAACATACAAGAGATTAACCAAGAATGCTAACTTGTTAACTTACACAGATAAAATATACTGGCCTAGTAAACCAACATACTAATGTCAGCTAATTATGTGTCTTTCCCCAGGAAGAAAGTTTACTTAGTAAGGATTAGGGGAGAGTGAAGGTAAATCAATTATTTTAAAGATGTCATCAAACTGTGATAGGTTGATATATTGCATTATTCAGGTGAGTCTAATTATTGTACTTAGAAACTATCACTAGTGGCTTGATGCAATAAAAGCTTCTTGTTTGTGCAACAGTCCAAGGAGACCTGCCATCTCTTCTAGGTGACTTTCCACCAAATAACAACTCAGAAACCCTTTTTTCTTTCTTCTTGTGTTTCCATACCCCCCACCACATCCCAGATGTTGGAATCCCTTAATGGATCTTTTGCATCTGGCACAAACAGAGGAAGATAATAGAGAGATCAGCCCATCCAGCTCATCTATTACTTCTGCCCACATTTTATGATAGGCAGGTTTCATTTTTCCAGATTACTATTCATTGTATATTTCATATTAAAGCCATATCTTTCTTTGCAAGCAGATTCTCTAGACCATTTGCTGAGATCCAGGAGAAACTCTATAATTATAACTAACACAATCACAAATGCTTTTTTGAAAGTTTAATTGGTTGGAAGCATTTTCACAAATGGATATCCAGTCCATTGTACAATGACCTGTGGTTAGTTTCAGAGACTGAAATTCCCTAGAAAGAACCCCTGCACAGAAAAAACATTTTGATGTTACTGAGGTTTGTGTTTGTGCTTGCTAGGCAGACACTCTATTACTTGAGCTACGGCCCAGCCCCCCATTCAACATTTTGATGCATAGAATTAGTAAAAACAGTATAAGATAATTTATAAGTTGAAGAGGGCCATTAAACTTACATTTTTAGTAAGAAACAGTATAAGATAATTTATAAGTTGAAGAGGGCCATTAAACTTACATTTACAAATATATAAAATGAAATTTCAGAGCATTAACAATGTAATTTCAAATGGCAGAGGATTACTATTCATAAAAAGAGTAGGGTCCCAGTATGTATGTTGTGTGTGTGTGTATATGTATGGTGTGTGTGTATGTATATACATGGAAGACACATAGATACACACATGCAGAAGATAAAAACATGTCAGCTGTGTTGGATAACTTTTTACATTTTTCTATATACTTCTTTCTTGTATTTCCCAAGGGTCCCACATGCTAGTGTTATAATCAAAATAAAATTTACAAGCAAACAGCCTTACTTTTATGTGTCACCATGAATAGACATCAGTATTTCAGTCCTACTTGCTCTTTGTATAACTGAACAACCCAACAGTATTTTGCTGCTGACAACTGTTCTTCTGAAAGTAGCATGAACTTGGAAAGTCCTTAACTACTGACTTCCTGGATCTCAGCTTCCTCATCTCCAAAGTGAGAAAAATCACAGTAACTCTAGACAGGCTTAACTGAGCCCATAGAAAGCACACTAAAATATTGCAGTATTTAGATGGATTGCCAGGAACGTCTCAATGTTATTTATATTTGCTTTGCTATTTATAGAACTGGCAGCCTATCCTCTTTCATAATAACGGGGATAGCTACCATCTGTTGGACACATAACATGTAATGATCTGATCAACACTTTACCTACGTTATCTTATTTAATCATCACAACAACTCTGAGAGGGATTTTTATTCCTTTTTTTCCTCCTGGGGACCCAGAAGGGTCAAGTGATTTGGCCAAGGTTACATGGCTAGTCAGTCACAGAGAAAGGATTTTATCCTAGATCTGTCAGACTCAAAAGTTCATGTTCTTTTTTGTGTAACATATGGCTTTATGCTTAGCGAGCGACTCCTCCTGATACAAACATTCAAAGTGTAAGGTTGCCAAAAGATTAGCTTCCTTTCAACAACTTGTCCATGGGAGAATGACAAAGAAAGATTAATACGACGTGAGTGAGGTAACGGTTTATAATTTGTCAAGTACCTACTCTGAAAGTTCCTAAGGAAACTTATTGTCTTGTTGAAGAGCTTACTCATATATTATGAAAAACTACTGTGCCCTGGATATCTTCCAGACCTAGCAAACACTTCCAAAATTTAAATCATCTTTCCTCCCAAACTGACTTTTCTTCCTCTAGGCTCTAGGAGCAACACCATTATTCATCCAATCCTGCAGTCCTTTCCCCTCCTCTAACTGTCCACCTCAACTCACAAGAAGGGTTGCGTTGATTTTACCTGCCTTATGTCGTTTGTGTACTTCATCTTTCTGTCTTCAGCATCACCACATTAGCATAAATCCTCATTGTTTCTTGCCCTAGATTATTGTAATGATTCTAAATTAGTCTTCTTGCCTCTAGAATCTCCTCCAAAATGTCTCCCATATCACTATCAAAATTAGATAATTAAATCTGTCTAGAAAACAAATTTAAGCATGCTATTTTCCTTCTTAAAAATCTTCTTTATCTTCTGGGTATAGTGGTGCATGCCTGTAATTCCAGCACTTGTGAGGATGAGACAGGAGAATCATGAGTTTAAGGCTGCCTGGGTTATGCAGCAAGACCCTGTCTCAAAATATGAAAAAGCAAACAAAAATAACAACAACTGCAAAAATCTTCCCTATTTTCCGACTTTTTAGAAAATGGATTTTTTTTTTTTCTTTTTGGTGGTACTGGGGTTTCAACTCAGGGCCTCACACTTGCTAGCAGGCGCTCCACCACTTTAGCCACTCGGCCAGTCCACAAGATAGGTTCTGTAACATGGCATGTGGCTCTTTACATTGAGGCCCTAGCCTCCATTTCCAGCCTCATCTCCTGTTTCCTGGTATCACTCCCTATGTTGTGACTACTTTCAACTATTTAAAATTCCTCAAATATACCAAGTGTTTCCACATCATTATTTAAATTATGTGTTGTCCATGCAAACAAAAACTATGTGACTTGAAAAGTATAGAAGTAAGGCTAACACACACTGGTCATGCCAGAGCATACTTTTTATGTCAAGTGTGGATGTTTTACCCTTAACAGTGGGCCCCTAAGATACATATTTGAACTATATGAAAATACTGGCTGCTACTTCAGGAAGAAAGTTAGTTTGGTAAATCCATGGGTGAAAAAGCATCATTATACTCAACAATACTGAAGTAGGAGACCTTACAAAGACAAATAAAATTAGAAGAGTAAGTATGAAACGGATTACAAAATGAGAAAGGTGCATTTGGATTCCAATTTTATTGCAGTCCTTCTTGACATTTTAAAGCAATACTGATTCTCAAACCATTATTCTGCTTCACAAGGGCCATTTCCATCCACTTCAATGTTGATTTTACTAAACAAAGTATTCTTTAACATGTTTACATTTTATCTCCTCCTCAGGCTTTCCCAGCAAATATTCTTTATGTAATTAAATCTATTATGATTAGGAAGGTATACAGGACTCCCAGAAGGCGTGGACTTCTCTGTCTTTAGACATAGGTTTTTCTTTTTTTTTTTAGTGAAGGGCTGGCTCACATAGAATTATTCCACTCATTTGGCAAGCTTCTGCCAGTAAGAAGTGTAAGTCACGAATAACAGGATGCTTATTTCTTTTTCAGCTTACTCACTCCAGTGACATTCTGAAGTTAGGCAACTAAATAAGAATTAGGCTTTGAGGCTTTGGATCCAAATCAAACTTGACTCCTTGAGCTAATATTTCTTTTCTTCTCTCTTTTTCTTGCCCTCTGGGTCTAATTTCTCTGTGTTTACAGTATATGCAAACATGTTTCTCATTAGTGTTTATTTACTACTGCAGGAATCACTTTGAACCATCTTACTTCTAGTGGAGATGATTTTCTCAAAATAAACCCAGACCATATTGGGTTTTATCGTGTAAATTATGAAGTGCAAACCTGGGATGACATAGCTAAAACTCTTTTCTTAAACCACATGGTAAGAGACAGCAACGGTGAGGGATTGTTTTATTTTTGTTCTAAGACCAGTATTTTATATAGCAATGTTATGAAAAACAGGTCATGCTAAAGGGGTTGTTACATATAGGGGGTGGTGTGAAAGAAGGAAGTTAAGAAGGTGACTATGGTTGATGTACTTTCTATACAAGAATGAATGTAGAATTTTTAAACCTGCTGAAACTACCATAAGAATGGGACTAAGGTAGAAAGAAGGAAAATAGAGGAGAGGAACCAGTTCAGGTTATAATAGATATATACATAGAAATGTCAGAAGGACACTTCCTGTGTAGCCATCTTAAACAAACAAAAATGTCATTTTTTTTCTTTTACAAAATCAGAGAACAGGACAACAGACTAGGTCCTGTGGTGGGGGGGGGAATAGGGTGATACCATTGGGAGGGGAGAGAAGGTGGGGAAAGGGTGTGGGAGGGTGTATATGGTACAAATACTGTGTACACATGTATGTAAATGGAAAAATGAGACCTGTTGAAACTATTCCAGGAATGGGGTGGTGAGGGGGAAATAAAGGAGAATGGTGAGGAGGTGAATGCAAGTATGATATATTTGATATATTGTGAGAACTTTTATAAATGCCACAATGTTCCCCCACCCAACACAATACAAAAACAGAATTTTAATGATATTAATTTTTGTCAGTACATTTGGTTTGAGAATCATGTTTTTTTTACCTCTTTTTCTTCCTCTTGCCAGGAATTTTCTTCTGCTGATCGTACAAGTTTTATTGATGATGCGTTTGCCTTGGCAAGGTGCGTTTTGTAATGTGATTAGATACTTACAATACCTTGGGGTGTTCCATGAATCTTTTTAAAAATGAATTACAACAGCATTTGACTATTAATCAATTTTAGTTTATAATATCCAAAGTCAATATTTTAACACTATTATTTTCTTTAGCTGTCTTCTTAAAAGTTCATATGAGCCTCACAGCCAAAATACTGATTATAGCCAGTTCCTACACACAACAACTGACCTCCCTATTGACTTGATTATAGTTTGTTCTAAATCCTTGAGCTGAGTATAAGTGATATTGCAACTGCTCTAAAGTGTGCCTTCATAATTTGATATAAGTAGACAAAATAATGTCTCATTAATTCAGTTTGATGAACCCCCCAAAATCAGACTTTATGGCTACATCTTGTTCAAGTCATTGCGACAAGAAGAATGAGTCATGGTGCTACAGGATTGATCAGAATTATGGTGCTGTTTAGGAAATTTTACTTTTTTTTTCTCATAATATAAAGGTAACCTGAATTCAGAAAACAATAATGAACATGGAATTAAATTAACAGAAGTGTAGTAACCACAGTCACTTTACTTTTCTTTCAGGTTATCTAACACTAGTTATTCAACAAGTATTTATTAAATTTAAGTTGCTGCACTTTGGAGGAGTTAAAGACAGCCAATTTTATTTCTCTACTATGGTAGTGACCTCATTCTAAATATGAGCAAGAGAATGAGAATGAGACACCATTGTTTTAGTCTCCTGTGACTCCTATATCTGAGTTGTACATCCCTCTTAGGGGACCCATCTTTTCTCACAGTATTATATTGTCATTGCTTACTAATGGTCCATTGTACCCAGAAAACTATAAGTTTTATGATGGTAGGCACCAAACCCAGCTCATGACTGCATGTGACTGCTAAGGTTGATGCTTTATAAATACTAGTCAGACAGATGGCTGGTAGAATAGAATAGAGGCCATGAAGGCATGGCAGAGGGTTTTTACATGGACTTCCTAGATAGCATATTAGAAGTCAGAAAACCTTTTTGACATTTTTCAAGGAAGGAATCATAGGGTTAAAAAAATAAGCTTTTGAATCTGATTAAAGTCCTGATTCTCTTTAACCTCTCTCTGGGTTAATTTCCTTATTAGTAAAATAGAGATGACAATACAATATTTTTGTGAGGAATAAATGAGAAGATAGATATCCAGTACCCAAGAGATTATGCAATTTGTAGAGAGTCCTCAATACATTGTGTTACTTGACCAAAAAGTATCCAACACTGATTGTTAGCAGAAAGGTGCATTCAGAAAAGTTCTTCTTCTTTGTAATCTAGATTTCTTTTATAGATGGTGTATGATACTTGTTAGTGAGTCTTCAATTTTAATCTATTATTAATGTAATAGATTATTTCCATTACATTACAGTATGCTGTTTGCTCACTAGCAAATGTGTACTGAGCACTTTCTATATAAGGCTTTGTGTACACCCTGGGAAATTAAGTGTGAAAGTGAATGATTGATAAGTATTTTAAAACATCACAGAATCATTTAGAATTTTTTTCTGGAAAACTCTCCAGAGGACCTTTTCTAAAACTCAGGCTCTTCTTGGCTACTAGAAATTACAAAGACTGTCAATGCTTCCATAGTTCAGTTCCAATTACCACACAGTGCAAATGGTTCTTTTTACTCTAACATGAAGTGAATACCTCTTGAGCAGGTCTCTCTGAGGAACTGGGTATAAAGCAAGTAACTCACGTTATTGAAAGACTTTCTTGCATATTCTCAGCTCCTTGGCCATAACCCTATAACATGTCTAAGAGCTAAGGAAAGGAAGATAATGAAACAAAGTTGAAAACCAAACATATGCAGAATCACACAAAAACAGAGCTTGATACAGATGAGCTATCACCTGGGCCAGTTTCCTTCTGCACCATGAGGAAAACAAACTCAGAGAGAACAAGATTCCACCTTAAGAGCTGTGCCCTGACCACTCAGAGACTTTGCAGGGAGGGGAGGAAAAGCTGAAATATGTAAATAAACAGATAAGTGCCAGTGGTAGGGTTGGAATTTACAAGTCAATTGAGATACTCAAAAAGAAAGGGAATGAGAAAAGAATCCGGACAAGTTGCTAATTGCAAAGAGGCTGTTTTAACCAACATAGCTGAATTTGATTGTAAATTAGGAACTAAAGAACTGGGAAATTTTCAATGCTTTTCATACTACTTTGAAGACCTTGCTGAAGAGCCCACACACATGGGGTCAGTGTCACCCATCCTGGAGCCCTACTCAACCATCTTTATTTTCCCTCTAACAGGCCAAACCCTTCCTTCCTTCCTTCCTTTCTTCCTTCCTTCCTTACATCCATCAAACTCGAGGCCTCATACATGCTAGGCAAATGCTCTACTACTGAGTTATGTTCCTCTAGAAATGCGCAGCCTTTCCAGATTATGTCCAAGAAAATAAAAACTGAAATTCTGCTGCAAGAGTCACCTAGCCTGCCTAAGTACCTTAGCTCAGGATAAGAGAACAAAGAGGCCCTTTGACCCCTTCTTTATTGCATTTGTTGAGACTTTAAGTAATAGCTCCCATCCTCTCTATACTGCGGATTTTAGTAAAATTCTGCGATTTAAGTGCCCCAGGAAGGCACTTAAATGGAAGGTCTTGAATGAAGAAAATTATCACCAAGTCTGGCTTTAGAACTGCTGTTCTGACTTAACGAATGGAGTTGGAAACCCATAGTTGAGTAAGGATGCTGTGTTGGGTTGAGTTTCCTAGAAGCAGAAACTTAATTGGAAGTTCTTCAAGTGGTTTTTGGAAATTGAACTCTCATGAGATAGGGAGTAGAAGAGGCAGGATAGGGTTCAAGGGTGGGGGAAGCTGAGCCAGATTCCACTAGGAAGCTATGAATTGTACCAGGGAGCAGGCCTAGCATGAGGGAAGCTGTTTGTCTTTGATATTTCTGAATCTGACAACGGGCAGGGGTGGGTCTGCATAACGTTTTGGGAAATGATATAACTAGCCAGGTGCTATCCTTTGGAGAAGGCAGCAGCCATGAACCAACCAACCCTGTGAGGGGATCTAGATTAGGAACTGCAGGTCTTTGTCTTAAAAAACATTTCTTTACCTGTGGTCCCCACCAGCAGTATCAGCATTGCCTAGGAACTTGTGAGAAGTACGAATTCTTGGCCCCTACCCAAACACTGAATCCGGAACTCTGGAAGGAGGGCCAAACAGTATCTCACAAACCTTCCAGGTGTTACTGATGTGTGCTCAAATTTGAGAACTCTGGTTCTAAATGATATCTCTGTCTTCTGATGTACCAGTATCATTGATTCCATGAAGAGGAACTGCAGAGTGACATCCCTTGTGGGGAATGGAAAGTCTATTAGTTTAACTCTGAAAATATTATTCATATAATATCAACGAGAAACATTCTCTTGCCATCCTGTGTTTGGACCCTGTGAGTCAGACTTCAAGAAAATATGTAATGCCAAAGTAGGGCAGTTATATACCTGCCCGCTATATTGGGAAAAACAAGGCACCAGAATAGTATATTGAGTTTTCAAGTTTGGCTAAATAGTATTCAGTGATGGCCTTTGGATTTCCTTCTTCTACTTATGCTACCTGAATACACAGTTCTGCTATTATGACCATGACCCATTCCTCTGCATCTTTTGATCTTCTGTGCAGCGTATTTGATTTCTGACCAAGGAATTTATTATTCTTCTTATAGTTTCATTAACCTCTTCACTAATTTGATCCTCAGAGTAACAATTATTCTTTATAAATGTCCTAAGACAATAATGATTGCATGTAGATGTTTTTCTACCTGAACGTTCTGAATAACACACTCCATTTTTCAAAATTATTTATACTTTTATTAAGGGAGGCCAAATGCTCCAGAGTAGAAATCATTCAGAATAAGAAAAATAACAGAAAATAAGAGTCAGCTTTGGGATCTGAAAACAAGCTCTGTATCATATGTCCTCAGTACAAATCACATCTTGGCAAGATTTCTATTTTTGTCTCTCTCTCCAATATTAGTTGATTTTTAAAACAAACTATAAGGAGAAATACAGACATAATAACACAGTTATTTATTTTTAAATTGACCCCCAATCATAACAGCACACAACAACGAATCAATATCCCTAAATTTGATAATTAACAATTAATCTTTAAGCTACCAAAATGCAAATTAGAAAGACAGAGTTTCCACCTCATATTCTTCCTCAAAGCTAGGCTACAATTGGAAGTACAATAGGTTCCCGAACAGTTGCAAAAGATTCTAAAATTCTTTCAAAGAGGGAAAAGTTGAATTCTTTAAACTTTGAAATGTCAATGGTTATCTTTAACCTTTCTGAGAGAGAACAATCTATTTTGATTTAAGAAAATCATTGAGAAATGTATAAGGAGATGTTACAATGAAAAATCTGAGCTCAATTTTAATGTTTCAAGCATTTATGATTTCTTAGTACTATTGTTGATGCTTCTTCATATGAAAATGTAAATAATTTCAATAAAATACACTTAGAATGGAGTATTTGAATATTATAATCAGTTTGTAAGCTTAGAAATTAAAAAATTTTAGTTATCCTTATTAACCCCATCTTGTAAAATGGCTATTTAAAAAAAATTTATCATTTTTACATTTACTCACATGTGTATACCATGTTTTGGCTCCCCCCTCACTCCGGACTTGTTGGGTGTCTCCACATTTCTGCTGTATAAATGTCACCAGACCTGAAGGCATACACCTTCTAGCATCCTCCATCATCCCCCAGCCTACAGCGGCCATCCCATCCCATACCTCCTGAGTGGATATCCTGACTCCCATCTCACCTGCTCCTCCCATGCTGCCATCACCTAGCACCACTTCCAGTGTCACTGGTTGTCATGAAACCTCATCCAAGTGACCAGTTCGTTGATGTGAGCCAGTGGTATGGCAGGAAGGTCAGGCCAGGCCCTGAGTGCCCTGGCTCAGGCGCTTGCCAGCTGTGTTTCAGGGGAAGTAACTTCACTTCTCTGAGCATTCCTTCCCTTACCCTCCCTCCTGTTCCGCCCTCTTGTGCTCCTATTTTGTTGAAGAGAAAACATAGGAGATAATAAGAAAGACACAGCATTTTTGCTAGCTTGAGATAAAGATAGCTATACCGAGAGATTCCTAGCGTTGCTTCCATGAATTGTGTATTGTAAACCACATTGGTTCATCTCTGCCAGACCTCATTACTTCCTATCCCCTTCCCACAGTGGCTTCTGACAGTTTAAGATTGCTTTATTTACTCCTCTATGGTGATCACTTCAACCACATTCAAGTTTTAGGTTTCCTTCCCTTTCCCTGTTCCTCCTGTGCATATTCTCCCCTTAGCGTGTGACCCATGTCCAATAATATTAGTGCATTTGTTTTGGGTCTATATTCTGCATATGAGGGAGAACATGTGATTTTTGACCTTCTGAGCCTGGCTAACTTAGCTTAAGATGATGTTCTCCAGTTCCATCCATTTACTGCGAATGATAAAATTTCATTCTTCTTCATGGCTGAGTAAAATTCCGTTGTATATAAATGCCACAATTTCTTAATCCATTCATCAGTAGTGGGGCATCTTGGCTGTTTCCTTAGCTTGGCTATTGTGAGTAGTGCTGCAATGAACATGAGTGTGCAGGTGCCTTTGTAATAACCTAAGTCACATTCCTTCAGGTATATCCCTAGGAGTGGGATTGCTAGATCATATGGCAGATCTATGTTTAGTTTTTTAAGGAGCCTCCATATTGTTTTCCAAAGTGGTTGTGCTGGCTTACATTCCTACCAGCAGTGTACTAGGGTTACTTTTCCCTGCATCCTTGCCAACACCTGTTGTTGGTGGTATTCTTGATGATAGCTATTCTAACAGGAGTGAGGTGTAATCTTAGTGTGGTTTTGATTTTCATTTCCTTTATGGCCAGGGATGGCGAGCACTTTTTCATGTGTTTTTTGGCCATTTGGATTTCTTCCTTTTAAAAAGTTCTGTTTAGTTCAGCTGCCTACTTCTTCATTGGTTTATTGATTTTGGGGAGTTTAGTTTTTTGAGCTCCCTGTATATTCTGGTTATCACTCTGTGGGTGTTCACTTCAATTTAGAGACCATTTACTTTATTGTGCAGAAGTTTTTAATTTCATGTAGTCCCATTTGTCTATCCTTTCTCTTAGTTGCTGGGCTGCTGGAGTTCTATTGAGGAAGTCCTTGCCTATACCTATTGCTTCCAGAGTATTCCCTGCTCTTTCCTGTACTAACCGCAAGGTTTCGGGTCTGATATTAAGGTCCTTAATCCACTTTGAGTTGATACTAGTACAGGGTGATAGACATGAATATAGTTTCAGTTTTCTGCAGGCAGATAACCACTTTTTCTAGCAACATTTGTTGAAGAGGCTGTCTATTTTCCATCTTATGTTTTGGTGCCTTTGTCAAAAATAAGGTGGGCATAGCTATGTGGATTCATATCCAAGTCCTCTATTCTGTTCCACTGGTCTTCATGTCTGTTCCTGTGCCAGTACTATGTTGGTTTTATTGCTATGGCTCTGTAGTGTAGTTTGAAGTCGGGTGTTGTGATACCTCCGGCAATGTCCTTTTTGCTCAGTATTGCCTTGGCTTGTATTTCCAAATGAACTTTAGGGTAGATTTTTCAATAGCTGTGATGAATGTCATTGGGATTTTGATGGGAACTGCATTGAATATGAGATTGCTTGTGGTAGTATAGCCAGTAAAATGGCTTTTGTTTCATCTGAATTTTTGCTACAGTGATTTTTCAAATGTTCATCTTGTTATTCTGCTTTTTCTTGTTCTTACCAAATGTATGAATATGCAGTTTCACATTGTACTAATATATCATTTTTTTAACAAAACTTGAAAAAATTAAGAAAAAAACTAGTTTGCCAGTTCTGGGGATCAAACTCAGGGCCTCACGTATGCTAGGCAAGTGCCCTACCATTGAGCTGCATACCCAGCCCTGATCAAAACTTTTTGATTGGGCCTCAACAGCAAGTGCCATTTCCTAATTGTTTAATAGAAGAATTGTCATTAACATGGAATATTAGGATTCCCATATTAGTATTTTCAGTTGAATGGAAACTAAAGTCTATGTTTTTAATTACATGTGCAATTTTTTTTTCTTTCTCAGAGCTCAACTTCTAAATTATAAGGTGGCTCTGAACTTGACCAAGTATCTAAGAATGGAAGAAGATTTTTTACCATGGCAGAGAGCCATCTCAGCTGTAACCTACATCATTAGCATGTTTGAAGATGATCAAGAGCTGTACCCTGAGATAGAGGTGATGTTAACACTATGATATAGTATGAAAGTAAATTTTTAATCATTAGTAGAGGGTAGTCTCTAGGGAAGAAGCTCTAGGGGGACACAAAGCATACCTACCTGCCAAGTGAAATCAAAAGAAAGCCCAATTATTCAAGTAGTCAAAGCCAAGAGACTGTTCTTTTTTCAACTGAAGTGTAACAGTATTTGTGGTTCAGTATACTGCATAAAGGTAATATTTTATTTAAAATTTATAATACTTAAACTATAAATATTCACTATAACCTATTTTAAATGCCTCTATCTCTGTTAAAAAAAAAAAAAGAATTTAGAATGTGGGGTGCCAGTGGCTGACGCCTGTAATCTTATGTCCTTGGGAGGCTGAGATCAGAAGGATAGCAGTTCAAGGCCAGCCAGTGCAAAAAGTTCACATGACCTCATCTCAATCAGTAGTTGAACATGATGGCATGCAGTGGTCATCCTAGTAATGGTGAGAAATGTAAAATAGGAGGATTGTGGTCCAAACTTGCCTAGGCAAAAAGTGAGATCCCATCTCCAAAACAACTAGAGCAATAAAGTCTGGAGTTGTGGCTCAAATGATGGAGTATCTGCCTAGCAAAAGCAAAGGCCTCAGTTCAAACCCTAGTATTGTCAAAAAAAAAAAAAAAAGAATTTACTCTTACCAAAATATAACATAGTTTCTTACTAATACTGCTATTATTTCCACATTATGATTTTATTATAAGATAGTATTTTATTGTAAGATAGTATTCTAAATACTTTTTCTTTGTGATTTCTGTTGTACTTTGGCAGGACAGTTACAATTTTAAACAATTGTTCAAATTGGATTTAAAACTGAATTTAAATTTCCAGTTCTTTCACCTCTAAGTGAAAGTCCCTGAAAAAACATAATTTAATATATGTGAGTGTTAATTTCCTTTATAAAGTAAAAACATCAGCACTTGCCTGCCTATGGAATAAAAGAGTGAGGACAAAATAATAAAGAGTGAGCACCTTGTGGAATTTTAAATACCTGTTATTTTTATTATTTAATCAATGCTTAAACAACCATCTCAATGCCAGATTTTTTCCCCCTATGTATTAGGTATGAACTAAGAAAGGGTAGTTAAAAGGGGCTCACCCAAAGTTTTATAAAACATTACAAAAAGATCCAGGATTGAAGAAAGAGCTCAGGACTGAAGCAAAATTACAATGTGATTAAAAACTAGATTAATTCCTTTTATAAGGGCAGACCTCAAGCTCTTTGAACTAGCAGGAAAAGATCCACACGAGCTTCAGATTAGAATAAATGAGACTGTTGATAAGTAGTAACTGATTACTCATGGTACCTGGTGCTTTTTTTTTAGGGCTACTTCCGAAGACAAGTGAAGCCCATTGCTGACACTCTGGGATGGGAGGACAATGGCGACCACCTCACAAAGTTATTTCTCACCTTTTTTAAAAACTAATATACTTATCTAACGTTTGTTCATGTGCTTATAGACATTTTGAAAAGTGCTTAAGGGCCTGGATTTGTGCTTATTTGTTTTTTAAGGTTACTCCGGGCCTCTGTGTTAGGGTTTGCGTGTAAGATGGGAGATACAGATGCCTTGGACAATGCTTCCCAGAAATTTGAGGACTGGCTAACTGAGACTTATAGGTAACTGTTCATTTTGCTCTCATTTCTGGAAAACTTTAAACTGAGAAATGAGTTAATGAAATCTCTGAAACACTGTTTCTTCTAGTATTCCTGTGAACCTCAGGCTTCTGGTATATCGCTACGGAATGCAGAACTCTGGCAATGAGACCTCATGGGAATATATGCTACAGAAATACCTGAACACCACATTAGCTCAAGAAAAAGAAAAACTGCTCTATGGATTAGCATCAGTGAAAGATGTTACTCTTCTGGGAAGGTAAATTGTTATTTATTTATTTTTTTTTTTGTCATGCTGGGGATCTAACTCCAGCCCTTGGTATACTAGGTAAGTACTCTGTCATTTCGCTATATCCCCAGCACAAGCTGGGCTTTTATTTCACTTATGTGAATGGTATTTACCAATTTATATGTCACAGTCTCTTTGTGACTCTGATTAATAAAGTATAATGTCTTTTTAAAAAAAATCCATCTAAACTCTTTTGCCTGTGACAAACAAAACACCCATGTGAGACTGGTCTAAAGAATGAAGAGATGAAATCTCCTATGAAAGTATTCTGGAGGTAGGTAGTTTCCAGCTGTGGGTGGTGGCTTAACATTTTCATCCAGGCCCCAGGCTCCTTCTCTTTCTGTTCTGCCATGCTCAATGTGTTGGGTGTCTCATGATGTCCAGATCTGCATGCTGATGTCTTTACACAAAGATGTGGAATGGAGGAAGAACAGGAGCAGAAGAGGTTCTTCCCCCCTGGTTCTGTCTTAAATGTCAAGAGGACAATTATTTCCACTTTCCCTCACAATCCAGATTGAGTTACACTGGATCATTCTGGGTTACATTCTGCATCTTCCATTTGATCATTTGCTGACTAGGATGAACTTGATTTCCTTTGACTGATTTGGGTTAACTGATTCTCTGGGGCTGAGGTAGGAATTTATATTCCCCAGGACCAAAGATATCAAATTATCCAAAACCAAAACTGTGCTCTGTCAGTAAAGAAAAGAATATCCGCTGTAGTGTGCATACATATATCCCACACACACTCGCAACAGGCCCACACATAGGCACATACATGCACGCACACACACACACTCACATGTATTTACATACTACCCAGAAGATACAAAGATCACTTAAAGCCCATCTTTTCCAAACTAGTTGGCTGGTATTCTGCTCTACTCAGTTAGGAATTTTGGGTAGACAAGAAGAAACTCCTCCAATTGTTCCAGGCCCTTGGTGGGTTTTCGTAATTCTTTGTGAGCAGCAACAGCTAATACAGTTTCAGCAGCAGGTGATGCCCTCTAGTTTTGAAGCTCTTGTGTGGGTGCTGGGTGCTGGGACCCTAGCCCTACAGCCACAAGTGTTGTCACTTGTGTCGGGGTCTGAAGCACTTTCTACATCTCACACTTCATCTATTGGGATGGCAAAGTGCTATGGCTCCTGCACCCCAGGGTTCAGGACTGGGGTGCCCGACAGCTTTAGCAACAGAAAGTGTTCCAGCTCTCTATCACCACTGCTGCTCTGCCACTACCACCACTGCCAGCCCCAGTTAGCCACCAGTGTTAGCTCCACTCACACCATTGCAGCTGGCCCTTGATTGATTACTGATGTCAGCCCTGCTCCTATCATTGTCAGCTCTGATGCTACTCTTGCCATTGCCAGTTTCCACTAGTACAGGCATCCATGTCAACTCTGGTTCCTACTGGGATGGCTGCAGGTGTCTCTGCTACTGCTCTCATCTCTGTCCTTCTTTTCCTCTTCTCTTTCCTTCATATTATAAGTAAGAAAGACCACTTGAGAGAAGTCTTTATTGGACCCAATGTTGCAACACCAACTGACAGCACAGGAGGGTGTCTTCTGGCTGACTCCAAAGTGAGCCAAAAAACCTGCTTATATAGCCAGATTGGAGGTGTGACAAAAGAGGCTGCACCAATCATGACAGTCCCTCATGTCACCAGACATGGCAGTCACTTATTCAAATCAAGGACTGTGTTTACACCATTCCCAGGACTACTTTTGGGCCACCAAGGGAAATGCTCCCTCTGTGGCTTGTGTGGAAATGACTTACAGAGTCATCTAGAGATCACTGTGGCTTATAAAGCCAAAAAGCCCCACGTTAGCTGTTTGCTGGGACAGAGCCTTCAGGAGCCAGAGTTGTGCTTCAGTGTGTAGCTTTCTCAAGATGTTTGCAGTGTTTTCAAAGCAGCCAGTGCTGGAATGAGGGCAATCTGGCTAGCTGCTTGGCTGATAGTCCTTTGCTCAAGGCAGCCAGGTCCCCAGGGAAAGAAGACTCCAAGAGTTACCATTAGGAAGTCCAATCACCCAGCCCCCATCAGCTGAGTACACTTACCAGAAAAATAAGCATTCCAAAGGGAACTTACAGTGAAGGCTTGTCACTAACATTAGCAGCTTCAGGTGTTGCACAGTGCTCTGAAACAGTGCTTAACTCTTCCTGGCCCCACAGAGAAGTGGGTCCCTACCATCTGTTTCACATCTATACCTATTCCACAAATTAACTAGCTTAATTCATTCGTTTAGTTAGGTGTCTAAGTTATCTACTTCATTCATTTAACCAATACTTACAGTGTTCTTTCTATATATAGATACATGGATTGGGAATAAAAATGAACATAATATGTTATCTTTCCTTGGAAGATCTTCATGGGAGAGACAGAATGTAAATAATAAATTACAATACAGTATCAATTTGAAAGGACTATCAGAAGTCATTTTCTTTTACCTAGCAGGGCCAGTAATATACCTTCCCCATTTTATCTCAGGGCTATTGTCAGTTCTGCACTCTGCCATAAAATAATCTATAAAGAGCTTGATCATATTAGCATCCACAAAATACCCCCATACTATATACACTTTTAGGTTTTATGTATCATTTAATATAAACTTAATGAAGATTAAATAAAGAATGTCATCCTCTTGACATCTACCCAGATATTATATTGATCCATTATGGCATTGTACTGATTGTATCTGTTAAGTAAATTAACAAGTACACTAGAAGCTTTGGTAAGAATCTTGTGGACTAGAGGATAGAAGATGAATTGCCCAAAAATTCAGGGACTCACTATGCCAGTGCAGTTTCTGGAAGTCCAATGTTCTAGTTACATGTCAAGACATTCTCCCCAAGGTGAAAGACAAGTTTCTGCCTCTTGTACTACCTACCATGAAAAATATTATTTTAGTGGACTCAGTAATATATTTTCAAATTTGAGACAACAGATCCCTCATTTGAGTATGTTACTTCAGCCATCTACAATCTCAGTTATGAATGATGACCAGAGGGAAGGCAGCTCTGCAGCAAGTCTGGGCCTCAGTAAGGGCTTCCCTAGAATTCCTTTCTTACCTGGAATATTCTATATATATTGTGTTTCATGTGAATATAGGTTTATCTACACAACTGCAAGTACAAAAAAATGGTAGTATCTATTTTCTAGCTGATTGTTCCAAAGAGTTCGTATGTTATTGATGATGAGTCAACATGATAGAAAATAGCTAATGCCATTTTTGTCTGCCAGTCTTGTTTTTAAATCAATTGTTAAGCTAGAACTGTAGTTTAATACTCTCTTAGGACAAATGTTGAACTTCCTAGAGTTCCTTTCTTTTTCCATATTCCTCCTGTACAGGGAGACATAAGTTATCTTGTAGTGATGAAGAAAGAGACTTCTGACTCTTGATGGTTTTGCCTTAAAGAGTTTACCTATTTTGGACCAGAGTCTCTTAGGTTTTTATTGATCACATTTTGCCTGCTGAAACACTGTCTAACAGAGATGAAAGTGTGGTTTCTTCTGTTTGTGAAGTATCTGTGTTGGCATTTATATCTTCCCAGCAGCCCTTCATCTTTTTTGCTAGAGTGAAGAAATGTCTAGCTCCCCTACATAGTCCACAAGTTAAAGGAACCAGGAGTGTTAATTTATACTCATTAGTATATTCACCTCACCTAGGATGTATTGTCATTCTCCTCTACCATGTTGGACATAGTACAAAAAATAGTGAACTGTGTGATTTTTTTGTAAGGACTGGAGAAGTAGTGTTTTCTAGTTTACCAGAGAGCGCAGACTTCCCTTAAAGTTTGAGTCTCAAGAGTAAATTTCTATGGTCATCTTTGATAGCCTGGCTCCTGATGTATTAACAAAAATGTAAGAGATATAGAAATATCTTTTCTTTTTGACAAAGGTTTACTCTCACAACTCAAGCTGAATGCTGGTTCTTTTGTTGGTTATTTATTATCTATCTCATATGAATGAGATAGATAATAATATAGAGATAATACCAATGGGTAGGAAACCATCAAGAAACAAGACTAGGAGAATATGAAAATATGTCTGCTCTATCAATAACAGATAATCTGTTTTGGAGGTGCCTTTCTCGTGAATAAAATATGTACTGCTCTTATTTGGAAACACTTTTCTAACGACAATATTCACTTGCAAGGTCTTGGGCTACAAATGCAATTCTTGGTAAAACCATAGCATAAATTTAACGAAATCTACATTTGGTCATTTAATTGATTTATCTTGGGTCTGTTTGCATTATGCTGTTGTTATTGGTGGATGAGCAGTCTCTGATCAGAAGATTTCCAGATTCTTTGTGTCCCCCATGGAAGCGTCCAGGCAGGACATGTACATGTAATGGAGTTTATTAAAAGTTAAGGAAGGGAATTCCAAAAGGGCATGGTGGGGCCAGGTGGAAGCCAGAAGCAGAGAGAGAGAGTCTTTCCCTTTTTTCAGGTACTTTTAAAACTCATACTAACTTATGAGAAGGGAAGAACCTGGTGACTCTTAACCCTAATGATTCATGAGTAGGGAGGGGAATGGGTGGTCCCCGGTCCAGGTGGGCGTGGATAACCTACACACATTTGCAATTGAAAATAAGACTCAGAGAAAGAGAGAAGAAAGTTCACCCTGAAATACAATATCAAGTCATATATGTTCTAAGAGTCCTGAACTTTCCCTAATTCTAGCCTGCCTCACTATGATCATAGCCAACTAATCTAGCCACATAGATTATATTAGTAGATCCTTACAGTATAGGGAAGAACAAACATGGTTTACATATTATCCTATAGCAAGTAAGAACTTAAATACATTAACTTACTACCTCCTTCTTTTTAATTTCGTTGGGCTAATAGGCAAGTGAGAAAAGTGCTTCTGTTCAAAAATGCTCTTTTTATAAATTACTCATTAAAAATTTGTGGTTTATTATTTTTAGTATTTCTGAAAGATTTTAATTTTTTAATGTTTCTAGAGTTTGCGTTTCACTAAAATGTAAATAATTATGCTTTAAAAAGAGTTAAAAAAGAAAAACACAGAAAACAGTTAAATATAGTAGAAAGTTTCACATTGTCTTTCATCATTTGTCATATTTAACTTGCTTTGTCACTTGATGCCCCAAGAATTGAGTTGCTGGAATGAAAGCTATGTTGCATTGATGTTTAGCTAACAACAATTAAAAGTTCATTTGGAATTGTTTCTCTATTTGGCTTCTCATAGGTATTTGGAAATGCTCAAGGACCCAAACATTATTAAATCTCAGGATGTGTTTACTGTCATCCGATATATCTCATATAACAGCTATGGGAAGACCATGGCCTGGAATTGGATACAGCTCAACTGGAACTATCTAGTCGACAGGTGGGAGGACCAGCTAACGGTCTATTGTTCTCTTTGCTTGATTCCATCTCATAGTTCCTTCCTTTTCTTCTTGATGGACTTTCTCCACCATCTATACCATATCTGAAATGGCATATTATCAGAGGTAAAGGATAGTGTTTTCCTTCCAGGGGTGTTAATTTTAGTCACAATTCTTTTTCTGGAAATTCCTGTTTCTGTAAGATTCTGAGGTATGGAGAGATGAATAAACTGCACTATTTTTAGTTTGGTTAAAGTATAATTGTGTGTTGTGCTAATACCTAGCATAATGCCAGGCTCATATTTGGTTCTTAATTAATATCTGCTGAAAACTAAATGAAAATCCCTGGACCTGGGTTCAAAGTAGAGCCATATATCTTGCTGCGCTTATATGGGTAATAACTTTTGTCTGCCCTGACCAGATAATTAAACTTAAAGTAGTCTGAATAGTTTTTAAAAGGGAACTACATTTCCCAGGCAATAGAAGGTTGGAGGTGATGTTGGGGTCTAGTTTTGTTCTTGGTTCTGATTCTTGAAATGTAATGCTCAATTTCTATTAAGAAGGCACTTCTTTGACAGACTATAAAATACAAAATGTGTATAAAGCAGAAATAAATGTCCCCCGTCAATGTGTAAACATTGCCATCTTTGCCATCTGTAATCCTCACAGGAGGAAGTAACCTCTCTTCCCTCCTAATCTCTCCATCAACCCAGCAGCACTGCCTCGTTGGTAATGACTGTCTTATGAGAATACCAACTACAGTTTGTTTCTTTTGCCTTTTCTGTCCTCCACTTCACCAGTGCCATTGTGTCCACATTTCTTTTCCTTCCAAGATAAACATTATATCTCTAGCTCTTAGCCTCGATTTTCTACACTTTTGCTTATATTTGTGATAGGTTTTTACCTTTACTACTCATGGCTAGTGAATTTAGCTGTTAATCCATCTCTGAAACTGGCCTGTGCACACAAGTGTGTACACACGCAAATAAGTATTGCTCATCTGTTTATGATTATTTCTGTGAAATGCTTGGTTTAGAATAAGTAAATCTACCTATTAAGAACATGTTATTTGGGAATAACAGTTCACATCATGCAAGGTAGCACCTGCCATTTTGAAAGATGTATGGCTAATGTGTGTTTTGTTTTAGCTGAAAGACCATAAAGCTTTTTTGTGTGTGTATATGCCACAAGACATTCATGTAGATGAAGCGTAATATTTGCTTTTGAATTATTATGAAAACTTACGTAAATAATGTTTTATTTTGCAAAGTAGAATGGTCATTATTATTTATTAAATAGTGCATTGTTCAAGGCCCAATTGAGTAGCTCTGGTATGATTTATTTCAAATAATGAATTTCTCATTTTCAAAATTTAGTTTATTGTCATGCCTTAAAATATTAAAAGTAGGAAAATAGGTTTTAGCATGTTATAGAGGTCATAAACATCTGATCTTTCAAATAAGTGTATTAGATTTTAAAACTGAATTTTTTTCAAGGAAAATAAATTGATAAACCATTTCCAGAACTGGTTCCCAAACCCTTGCCCAAGGCTTTTAATATTTCTTCATAGTCTAAATGATCTAACCTTCATGAGTATTATTTCAAATAGTCCTAGCCATAAAATACTATAATAACCACATGTCTTCCAGTTACACAAGAAAGCAATATTAATTATCCTTAGATTGAATAAATAGAATTTCCCCCGTGAGAAATTATATAAGACAAAATAAACAGAAATGAGCCAAGCTTTATATGAATATTTCCAAACTCTTGAACATTTTCCAAGTTTCAGTAGTTTTGCTGCCTCTATTTCTGAAGAACTTATTGTCACCCTGAAATGAATGAGTTGTTTTTCTGCAAAGCTTTTGTCTTATAATTTTTAGGAGAACTGATTGCCAAACCAGTAGTTTGAACCTTAACCGCAAAGTCCCAAAGACAGTTTGGAAATTATTTGTTTTTGTTTCTTATACTAAGCTGTTAGGTACAACTGTAATAAAATTTGATTTTAGTTTATGACTGAAAACTATAAAAATCAAGATGACTTGATTTTTCAACATGGGTGATTCTTTTTGTTTATTTATTTATTTTCCTTGACTTAATGAGCATTACTGAAACCTTATCTCATAAATGAAATAATTAATAAATACTTATTAAAAGTTTTGCACGCATCACAATAGTTGCCATTGGATAACATAATAATACATATATAAAACTGTTAAGTCCAAGAAGATAATTTTAAAAAACTCCTTATTTTAGTTAAAAAAATTAATCAAAAAATACATAGCATACCTCCCCTTCTTTTCTGCACTTGATATAACTTGATATATTTTGTTCTCACATTCCCAGCATTCACACAGATAGTTGTGGTTTTTATTTCATCTTATTTATTGGTAGTTTTCAAATTTAATTTTTTAAATTTTTTTTATTTTTATTTTTTTATTTTTATTCATATGTGCATACAATGCTTGGGTCATTTCTCCCCCCTTCCCCCACCCCCTCCCTTACCACCCACTCCACCCCCTCCCTCTCCTCCCATCCCCTCAAAACCCGGCAGAAACTATTTTGCCCTCATCTCTAATTTTGTTGAAGAGAGAGTATAAGCAATAATAGGAATTTACTCACTAAGAACAAAACAGAGAGGAATATTATAGAAATTATAGGTCACTGAAAACTTGTCTTATTACTTGCAATTAGAAGACTCTTTGAATCTGTAAAATCTCAGTTCAATGTGTTTTCCTTCTTAAAAATCCCCATTCTTACACAAAATCCCCATCTTATTACAAAACTGATACCCGTTTTTTGCACAAAATGCAGATAAACAATATTAAGAACATTTAAATTACTTGAAACCACTTAGAAATAACTCTGTTGTCACACTACTCTTTGCTTTTGAGTCATCTTTCTATGGCTGCTTATTTATTGCAAAGAAATGAAATCATACATTTTTAAAATATAATTTGCTTTTTCCCACATCATCTTGAATTGTGGATGTCTTTCCAGGTCTTTAACTATGCTTCTTCAACATTGTTTTTAATAACATTATAGTATTCCAATGTATAGCTTTATGTTAGTTTACTTATCCAATCTCCATCTTTTGGGCAACAGAATTATTCCCCCATACTGTAAATAATGTATTGATGAACAACACCTTTGAAACTGAGTTTTTTTATTCTTTTTAAATATCTTTGACAATATCTCTAGGATACAATTAATACTAAAAGTAATACTACTGGGTTAAACATATGTTCATTTTTAGGATTTCTGATAAATATTACAAAATTGTCATCCAGAAAAATTTTACTAATAACTGACTAGTTTTCCAAGTTTTCCAATACTCAATATAGATATTTCTAAATCAATTGCTAATTGATCAGGTTAAAACTAATAGCTTATTTTAAATTGTTATTCTTTTATTCAGTATGGCATTATGATTGGCATTGAGAATACAATAGTAGGGAGAAACAGACCTAGTTCTCTGTCCTCATAGAGTTTAGAGTTTAGTAATGGAGACCAATATTAAGAATCACACAAACTCATATGTACTTAAAATTTTAATAATTAAACATGGAAGAATTTCAGGGTGCACCAAAATAATTTAAAGGGGAAATTAAAGTTGAGGAAAGGGCTGAAGGAAGAGCAGGAATGAATTAGGTAAACAGAAACTAAAGCATTCCTGGCTGAAGGGCTATCAGCAAAGAAAACAGATAGAGGCCAAGAGTCATGTTAAGATTTGGGCTTTTGTTCTAAGAGCAATGATAAGTCACAAGAGGTTTCCAAGGAAAAAAGTGAATAATGAACTTTACATTGGAAAAGAAAGCTTTGGTGGTAAGGTGAAGCACAGATTGGATAGGGGCCAGAGTGGATTTGGGAAAAGCAGTAGGCTATTGTGATAGTCCCAGGAAATGGCAGTAATAGACTAGACTAGGGGAATGTAATGATGAAGATGAAGAGACAATACAACTTAGCAGTAGATTGAAAATGAGAGATGAAAGTAAGGTGACAAGGATAAAGCCTAAGTTTCTACAGGCACATGGCTTACAGGAGACTCGTGTGTTTAGTTTTTTGCATATGATGCTTTTGTTTCTCTTTTAAGGGGTGAAAGTGGAGATTGTTTCAAGGAGGGTATGAGCCCTTGTCAGATCCTACTTGAAGTTAGAGTAAATTGAAGACTAAAAAATGTTCCCTAGATTTATGAACTTAAAAATCGTAACTTTGGAAAGAATTTTTCAGTGGATTGATGCAGGCAAACTCCAACTGAACAAATCAAAAAATGAGTCAGTGAAGAAATCTCTTGACATGATTTACTGTGACTAGGGAGGTGAGAAAAAGAATATTAAGAAAGATGCCAAGTCAAAGAAGAGGGTTTTCTTCTTTTTATGGAAAATATTTTTAATGTATTTAATATCTTTAAAAGCCTATGAGAAAGTTCTAGTAGGAATTGAACATTTTAATATGAAAAACAGAAAAAAAAGATTATTTTAAAATAAGATTTTTAAGAAAGTGGGCAGAAATAGCAACCAAAGCACAGATGATAGATAAGAGGAAGACAGGTGTACTTGTGTGGTCAAGTTTAATGATATAGGAGTTATTGTAGATTTTCTTTGTGAAGTAGAAGGCAAAGACATCTTTGGGGGAGGGAAGACAGAGGTAATAGGTTTAGAGGATGGAAGAGAGTGAAAGTGATTGAGTTAGGGTAATTAGGAAGATTATGAGTGTGAGGGTTCATTTAATATTTAAATCCATGAATTTATAATGAACAATATGGGGACAGTTCAGTGACTTCTCTTAACCCAACTGATACAAATTCAGAGAAAACAGGCAGCTGATTTCATCCAAAGTTGGAGTTTTATAGGCATGCATTATTAAACTGCAAGGGAGTTTAATCTTTCTAACAAGAGAGTTTATGGCTTAAATCAAAATGTTATTGAAAATGGTAGACCATGGTATCTAAACTATATAAAGAAATAGGTGGAAAAAAAAAGAAGACCTGATGGTCCAGGAG